TTTTTGAAAAAAAAAACAAAAACACCATAGTTTTCAGTATGATTTTTCTCATTGATATTTGTTCTTTTGACTTTCCTAAAATGCAAATGTAGATTATTGATTTGAGTCCTATCTTCAGTTCTAATATAAGCATCTAATGCTATAAGCCACTGCTTAGCTGCACTGCACAAATTTTATTATATTTTTTAAAAAATTTTTTATTTATTGAGAGTGAGAGATTTCAATTTGTTGTTCCACCTATCCTTGCACTCACTGGTTGACTCCTGAATATGCCTCAACCATGTACTAGACACACAACCTTGGAGTATGGGGACAACACTCAAACCAACTGAGCTATCCAGCAGGGTTAATTTCTTTAAAATATTTTTCTAATTTCCCTTGAATCATCTTCTTTGATCCATGGGTTATTTACAAGTATTTTGTTTAATTTCCAATGTTTAGAGATGTTTCTGTTTCCTTTCCATTATTGGTTTCTAGTTTAATTCTTTCGTGCTCTGAAAATGTTATATGATTTTAATTACTTTAAATGTATTGAGGTTTGTTTATAACCCAGGAGCATGATCTATCTTAGTGACTGTTACATGTGTCCTTCAAAAGAATGTTTTGTTGTCATTTTCACTGTCGCCAGGTAGAATATTCTACATAAATGTCAATTATATCCAATTGGTTGATGGCATAGTTCGGTTTTTCTGTATCGTTGCTGATATTCTGCCTAATAATTCTGTATATTACTGAAAGAATACTGAGGTCTCCATATGTAATTGTGGATTTGTCTATTTCACCTTTCAGATTCACCAGCTTTTTCTTTTAACTATTTTGAAATTCTATTGTTAGGTGTTTATTCATTTAGAATTATGCTCACTTAATGAATTGATCCTGTATCATTATATAATGTACCCTTTTATCATTGGCAATTTTCTTTATTCTGAAGTTTACTATGTCTTATATTAATATAACCATTTTGACTTTTCTTAATACCTTAAGACACAAGGCATTGCAAAAAACAATGTGCTCACAAGTACTCTTCACACCATTGTACATTTCTGGTTTTAAAACCAGGAAATGGGCATTGACACAATATTATCAACTAAACTACAAATCTTTTTTTTTTTGCTTTCACCCATTTTTTTCATTGAAATTTCTATTGAGAGAATTTAGGTTGACATGCAGTTGTAAGACATAATAAAGACATACATCTTGTACACTTTGTCCGCTTTCTCCAAATGGTAAGATTTTGCAAAGTGATGGTATATTACAAGCAAGCCATTAACATTTATACAATCCACTGACCTTAATCACATTTCTTTAGTTTTACTGGTGCTCAGTTGTGAATTAAGTGCTATACAATTTTATCACCTGCGTAGATTCATTTACCCACTACAACAGTCAATGAACAGATATTGACAATTCTTGCCCATTTGTAACCACACTTACCTTCCTGCCGCTCCCTCACCCCAACCCTAACCTGTTATGACTGTTGATCTGTTGTCCATTTCTATGATTTTGTCCTTTCTGGAATGTTACATAAATAGAATCTTACCACATTAAACCTTTTGGAATTGGCTCCCCAACCCCCCCCCCCCCCCGTCCCGCCTCAAAATTCCCTGGCTATTCATCCAAATTGTGTTTAGTTTGCCCATTTTATTACTGAGTAGTATTTTATGGTATGTATGTGTCACGATTTGATTAGTCACTTACCTGTTGAAGGACATTCGTGTGATTATATTTTTGGCTACTGCAGATAAAGCTGCTGTGCGCATGTGTGTGTAGGTTTTTGTGTGGACATAGGTTTCCTTTTCTCTGGGATGCATGCCCAGAAGTGCAAATGCTGAGTCAGAAGGTCAGATGGTAGTTGCATATTTTCATCAGTGTTTGCATGCACTGTGTGTGTGTGTGTGTGTGTGTGACTATGAAATTGTATCCTTTGTATAGATTTGTATAGATTCCGGTAACTGTGACTGTAGTCAGAATGCAGAACTGGCCCACCTGTGTCCCTCCTTTGTACTAGTCAGATCCTTCCTCCAACCCTAACCACTGAATATGTTCTCTCTTCCTAGAATTTTGCCTGTTATAAATAGAGCTGCTGTGAACATTTGTCTATAGGCTTTTGTGTGGATACATTTTCATTTCTACAGGATGAATTCCCGGGAGCACGATGTCCAGGTCATATGGGAGTTGTATGTTTAGTTTTTAAAAAGACTCCCCAACTCTTTTCTAGAGTGACTGTACCGTTTTCACTCCTACCAGTAACTTGTAAGAGATGCAGTTGCTCCCCATTCTCACTAGCACTTAATATTGTCAGCATTTTTCTTTTTTTTTTCAAATATATTTTATTGATTTTTTACAGAGAGGAAGGGAGAGGGATAGAGAGTTAGAAACATCGATGAGAGAGAAACATCAATCAGCTGCCTCCTGCACACTCCCCACTGGGTATGTGCCCGCAACTAAGGTACATGCCCTTGACCGGAATCGAACCTGGGACCTTTCAGTCTGCAGGCCGACGCTCTATCCACTGAGCCAAACCGGTCAGGGCAGCATTTTTATTTCTTAATCCTCACCCAAAGATATGTTTCTATTGATTTTTAGAGAGAGGATGGGGGAAAGAAGAGAGAGAAACATCGATGTGAGAGAAACATCAATCCTCCCGTACATGCCCTGACCAGGGATCGAAACCGCCACCTAGGCACCTGCCGGTCACTTTTCAGTGTATGGGATGGCGCCCCACCCAACTGAGCCGCCAGGCCAGGGCAATATTGTATTTTTAAATTTTATCTATTCTGCTGGTTGGGTAGTGGTATCTTATAGCTTTAATTTGCATTTTTCTAACAGCCTCAGCTTTCCTTTGATTAATGTTCGCATGGTGTCTGATAGTGGGCACAGGTGTTATGGCCACTGTAATGAGTGAGTGCCTCCGGAATGACAAACGAAGCGGCAACTCCACAGAATATGACAGTTTATTATAAAGTAATTTACTTACAGGAAGACTGGGTTGGAGGGGAACAGAAGACCCAGCAATTTTGCCAGATTCATCTCTGCTAACAGACCTGTTACAGTACTTTTTTAATACTATAACTCAGGTACTAATGATTGACAAAGAGACAACCACCTCCTGGTGGTCTTGTGATAGATGATGGTTTATAATCAATACTTTCACCAGTTTTGATACTAGACACTAAATTGGTCCAAGGCTGCCTGTCACTACTTGAGTGCAATGAAGCACAGACAGGGCTGAATCATATCTGAGCATTTATTCCAATAATGCCACCAGTGTGGGGAGAGCAGCAGGTCATCCTGGAAATTCTGTTCTGATCCGCCCTTGTCAACTGGCTGAGGGAAAAGGGGCTGTGAGTGTGGGCTATGGGCTATGAGTGTGGGCTGTGGCTGTGAGTGGGCTATTGGCTGAGTGTGGGCTGTGGGCTGTGAGTGTGGGCTGTGGGTATAACAGGAGAGGAGGGGAGGGTCTGTAGCCTTGCCTACCTGTATCATAATTAAAGCTTCCCCTGTAAACCACATACAATTGTTTCACTTAAAAAATATGGATTCTAGCCGTACAACAAAAGGTTGCAGGTTCGATCCCTGCTTGGGGCACATACAGGAGACAAGCAATCCGTTTCTCTCATATCAATGTTTTTCTCTCAATCGTTCGCTCTCTCTAAAACCAATAAACATATACTCTGGTGAGGATTAACGTATTATATATGTATTGTGGAAATCTCCGTATTTTTTTATTATTTGTAAACACCACTTGAGGATGTTTATTGATGTGATAGGGAGGGGAGAGAAATACTGCTTTGTTGTCCCCCTTATCTTTGCATTCATTGGTTGGTTCTCATACGTATCCTGACTGGGAATCCCACCTGCTGCTTGGTGTATTGAGACAATGCTCTAACCAACTGAGGTAGCCGGCCAGGGCAGAGGTACTATGTACTCATTGTGCTGAATTATTTCTCTGCCTGGACATTTGTGGGAATGAAACTTTAAGGATGTTACACTTCAGTGTATAGGTTGATAGGAAGAAGTTTCTATTCCAGGAGGTGGTGCTGAAGCACAGCTATTTTTTTTTTCCTCTTACTTGCTCTGCTGGGGCTTCTGGGATCCCTGTGGGCGTGTTGACTCTGCCATGGAACAAGCCCCATCCTCCCTGAGGAGGGGGGTGTCCTTTTCACAATGGAGTCACCTCAGTCTAAGGTGACAACCCACCACTCCTGTGGATTGAAGTGTTGGGCTTTGGTCTCCTGTGTGTTCCCAGCACTGCCTTCCTGTTAGGCCGAAGCCACTGGCAGAGCCACACTGAGTGGACCAGGCTGCCCACCCACCACCCCGGTCTGCACCTTGACGGGTGGGGGAGGGGTTGGCAGGGGAAGAAGGATCACACATCTGCAGCTCTGTCCTTCCTAGGGTTTTAGCCACAGTGAGGACAGACCCCTTGGATGGAAAGTTTTCAGCACTTTGTCTACCCGGCAGGCTACGGGGGTGGGGTGGGTGGGTTTTCATGTCTGAAGTCCTGTCTGGTGGTGCTAGCAGGCTGTGGGACGCTACACCCTCTGCACTGCTTCTCTGATCTTGACCCTGTGCCCAGTCTCAATGTGTGCCAGCCCCCCAGGCCCCATCGTTGTCCCTGCCCCTCCGGTTTGCCCAGTGGGAGTTGACCCCCGTCCTTGAACGCCACTGTGTCTGCTGGGGGCTTCAGCAAGTGCTAGACTGGGCACAGCTTCTGTCCCTGGCCTTCACGCCCCCCACCCCTCACACCATCTCCACGGTTCACTCAGGTGTGTCCCCTCATTTCAGTGTGCAGCTCTCAGACATGAGTATGTTGAGCAGGAAATCCTTTGTGAATTATAGGGGTCCAGCATGTTGTAACTTCAAGAGGAGACCACCATCACACCACATTTCTCATGGCTGTATAATATTCAAACAAAATTTAAATATTTTACAGATACTTACTTCCTTTTATTGAATTCAGTATAAACATTGTTGTGTACGATCTAACTTTTTCTATAGTCTCCTAAGCAAAACCTCCAGTGGTAGGGTTGCTGGGTCACAGGGTATTTTGATACGTACTGACCAGCTAATGTCCACTTCGACCAAGAGAAAGCGTTGAACACGGAATGCTGTGAAAGTGACAATTTACCGAAACTGTTACAGTTAAGTGAAATTTCAATAAAAATTTAAAAAAACTTTCTTATCCTGCTTCCTCCTCCCCATTTTAGCAGGAAGAATGAGGGTGGAATGTGACAAAGTGACGTCCATGAAACCTGCCAAGGCCCCTGCCTGAAAAGTCGCAATGGATGAAGAGCTACGCATAGGCACTTTGACCTAAGTTTGCATGAAAATGAGAAGAAACTGATTACTCACAGTTCAAGTTCACTAAAACTTTCTGTCATTAGTAACTACTTTTAACATTTTCAAAGAGTTACAGTAAAACTGTACCCTAATGAATTAGGGATCAAAATTTATAATTGTATAAATTCAGGATCATGTTAGTAGATGAATAAAAACCAGTACTTTTCAGTCTATAAAATACAAACCAATGATTAAGTATTATACTGTACACACAGATAATACACTGTACAAAAAACAGGCTGAATGGGGGATAGGAGCCATTCAGAAGTCTTGTTGAAATTAATTTGTATTATTGTGGATGGCAGCATTACAGGATTCTTTTTGCATATGCTGTTATGAATTTAAGGTAGGGAACTGACTAGAATTTTCAAATACTTGTCATTATAGTGGTTTTCTCTACTTTGTTCAGTAATTGATGGGCACCTCATACAAGCCAAGCAGTTCTACAAGGTAGACATACTGGTAGTGGTGAAAAACACCTCTATTACATGGAGGTTACATTGTAGTTGGCTTAAATTTTATTTGTCCATTAAATCTGCCACATATACTTTTGTTCGAGTGCTGCACATAATCTCCATTCATACGCCCTCTCTTCTGGGTGACTCCAATGAAATGTAAGATCCTTCTGCTGTGTTCTTCGGAACCGGGACATTGAAAACTCTGGTGTCACCATTTACCATTTTATGAAACCAGTTTCTCTCATGTGAAATCTGATGTTTACAAAGAATTCATCCCCCCAACTGCGTTGTTGAGACACGTCTTATAGAGCTGCTTTCCCGCGGCCATTCCTCGAGGCTCCTGAGTTCTGAAGGAGCTTTTCACGTTCACCAGCACAGACTCTCTACTGGGGACCAAGATGTGAACTCAAACTAAAGGCCATGTCGCGCCTCGCATGCCTACAGATCCCCTCCAGTGTGGATTCTCTGATGATACACAAGATGTGATCTCTGGCTGAAGCCCTTACAACATACGTCACATATGTAAGGTCTCTCTCCAGTGTGGACCCTCTGATGTGTGTGGAAATGTGAGGCCTGACTAAAGCCCTTCCCGCACTGCTGACAGGTGTAGGGCTTCTCTCCTGTGTGGACCCGCTGGTGGGCACTGAGCCCAGCACTCCAACTGAATTCCTTCCCGCACTGCTCACATTTAAACGGCTTCTCCCCGGTGTGAATGATCTGATGGACTTGGAGATTTGACCTCTGGCTGAAGGCCTTCCCACAGGTGTCGCATTTATATGGCTTCTCTCCAGTGTGCACTCTCTGGTGGGCTTGAAGATGTGAAGACTGACTGAACCGCTTCTGACACGCTTCACATTTGAATGGCTTTTCCCCCGTGTGGACACTCTGATGAGCTTGGAGGTTTGAGGCCTGACTGAAGCCCTTGCCACACTCTTCACATTTATAGGGCTTCTCTCCCGTGTGTACTCTCTGATGATTGTGAAGATTCAAGCTCCAGTTGAAGCGCTTCCCACACACCTCACATTTGTAGGGTTTCTCTCCAGTGTGGACTCTCTGATGGGCTTGAAAATATGAACTCTGGCTGAAGCCTTTGCCACACACATTGCAGCGAAACGGTTTCTCCCCCGTGTGAACCCTCTGGTGGCTCTGGAAACTCGAGGCTGAGCTAAATCCTTTCCCGCACTCTTCACATTTATATGGTTTCTCTCCCGTGTGGACTCGCTGGTGACTGTGAAGATTGAAGCTCAAACTAAAGCACTTCCCACACTCATCGCACCTGTACGGTTTCTCCTCAGTGTGGACTCTCTGATGGGTGTGAAGGTTTGAGCTACAACTGAAGCGTTTACCGCAATCTGCACATTTGTATGGTTTCTCTCCCGTGTGGATTCTTTCGTGGGCCTGAAGATGTGATCTCTGCGTGAAGCCCTTTCCGCATATCTCGCATTTGTAAGGTTTCTCTCCAGTGTGGACTCTGCAGTGGATATTAAGATCTGTGCTACGACTGAAGCCCTTCCCACAACTTTGGCATCGATAGGGCTTCTCTCCGGTGTGAATAGGCAAGTGAGCGTACAGATGTGAGGTCTGGTTAAAGCTCTTCCCACACTCAACGCACGAATAGGGTTTCTCCCCCGTGTGGACTCTCTGATGAGTTTGCAGATTTGAGCTCTGACTAAAACACTTTCCACACTCATGACACCAATAGCGTTTTTTTCTTGCGTGAACATACTGTTGAAGGGGAACGGCTGAGCTATAACTGGTATCCTCACGGGTACTACAGTGAAGGGACTTCTTTGCCAAGTGTGACTGCTGATGAACTTCAAGTCTGGAGCTATCACTGAATACTTTTCCACATTCACTACACTGGTAGGTTTTCTGTCCCGTGTGGATTATACTGAGCTGGGCAAGAGATGATACATTTGAGATGTCTTCACCACAGTCTTTGTTGCTGTGAGCTTTCTCTCTTTTGTGTACTGTACTATCATCATCATGGTGGTGTGAATTACAACTGAAGATGTTAGCACATGGAGCAAATACACATAACTTGTTTTTCACTGGCATCTGCTTACAACTGCTCTGATAATTCTGTGTCTCGTTCAGATATATGTTACTCTGAGAATTCTGAGCTCTCCCTGTTGTAAACGCTTGACTTTCATTAATACTGGAATGATTCTCCGTAAGACTCATTACACAGCTGTCTTCCTGAATGGAGATTCCTGCCCCCACCTGACCGGGGGAATTAAGTTGTTTGGGGAACTGAGAACTCTTTTCTTGAACATGTAGCATGGAGACTTGACTTTTCGTTAATTTACTCACAACATGTCTCCTGATCTGCCAGCATGAGAGCTCTCCCAAAGAAAGGCACCTTCCTCCCGCTTCATCAAGAGTCTCCATCTCATTTTCATTCCTGCCTCCTGAAAAAATCAGGGACAGATAGTGACATCAGCAAGAAAGCGGGCTGGGAAGCTCCCAGTCCTCATTTCCCCCACTGAAATATAAAAACACTACTCGAGACCAGCAAAAACAACTGCGAGATTCCTGAAAAATGGTCAGAGCAAACAAGAGAGCAAAAGCCACACTTAAAATGGCATTAAATTTGGTACCACCTCAGGCTGAGCATTGATGAGATTCATTTAGAACCACAGGTCTAATAGGGTAGGAGGTAGATATCAGCCAGCTGCAGAGCAACATAAAAACAAACCTGGAAGTTTTCAGAAAAGGAGAAACTGATTTTCTTGCCTATAAAAATGGTAAATTAAAAGTCTCCTCTTCAGCTATAGCTACTGATTCAGAGTAGTATCTACACAAATCAGCTAAATATATGCCTCAACTACAGTCCTTCACTGTACAACTTGCACACCTGGAATTGGTGTGCAAATTCACTTTCTCAATAAATAGCAAAATAAGTAGAAACTGAGTGAAGATATAGAAAACTTGAACAATACTATCAACCAACATCAGATAACACTCTTTTCAGGTGCACATGGAACCTATTCCAAAAGATACCATATTCTGGGTCATGAAACGAGTTGTAACAATTGCAAAAGGACTCAAGTCATACAAATTATGCTCTAACCACAACTGAATTAAGTCAGAATTAAGACACTACTAAATAAACTGCATCACAAAACAAAGAGACATTATAAAGGGCATTTTGAACTAAATGATAATGAATTTGTGACTTGCTACTAAAAGAGTACTTAAAGGGACATTTATACACAACACGGGTCTCCAAGAAACTAGAAAAACAAGAGCACATTAAACCAAAGTAAACGGAAAACACACACACACACACACACACACACACACACACACACACACCCACCCAGAGTCAGGCATCACTTAAAGGCATATATTTTGAGATATGGGTATGTCACTATATAAACATCATAGAGTGCACTTACAGAAATCTAGCTAGGCTGTATGGCCTATTGCTCCTATGCCACTAACCTGCACAGCATGTTCTTGTACTGAACAGTGTAGGTAATTATAATACAACTAGAGGCCCAGTGCATGAAAATTCATGCACTCAGGGGGTCCCTCAGCTTGGCCTGCACACTCTTGCAGTCCAGGACCCCCTGGGGGATGTCTGACTGATGGGTTAGGCCCGCTCCCCCCAGGGGCCTAAACTGGCAGTCAGACATCCCTCTGGCAGTCCGGAAGCCTTCGGGGGATGTCCAACTAATGGCTTAGGTGAGTTAAGGATGTGGAGAGTAAAGAGAAGACAGTATTTTATTTTATTTTTAAAATATATTTTTATTGATTTGAGAGACAGGAAGGGAGAGGGAAGGAGAGAAACATCGGTGTGAGAGACATCAATAGGTTGCTTCCCAGTCTGGGGATCGAACCAACAACTGGGGTATGTGCCCTGACTGGGAATCGAACTGGGAGGATGACACTCAACCAACTGAGTCACACCGGCCAGGATGGAACACGGGAAGTGAGTGGTCACAGAAGGACTTGGATGAAATGACTTCTGAGCAGAGACGTGAGTGAGTAAGAGAGTGGTTGGGGGTTTATGGGAAAGCAGCATTCCAGCCAAAGAAAAGGAAGTAAAAGACCCTGATGCAGAAGCATAATCACCAAATGTCAGGAACAAGTCAAGTTGGCAGCATCAAAGGGAGGGAAATGAAAGGAGAAAAATGTACAGTGGTACAGCCAGGTGAATGGGCCGACACGACAGGGCCTTCCTGGCCCCTTCAATACGTTGGGTGCTGTTTGGAGGGAAATGGAAGCCAGTGGAGGCTGTGAAGCAGAGGAGAGACATAATGTGACTGATGTTTGTTTGTTTTTTATTTATTGATTTTAGAGAGAGACAGAGAGAGAGAGGGACATCAATTTGTTATTCCACTCATGTTGACATTCATGGGTTGATTCTTACATATGCTCTGACCTGGGATTGAACCCACAGCCTTGGTGTTTCCGGCCGATACTCTAACCAGCTGAGCTACCTGGCCAGGGTCTGTGACTGGTGTTTTCAAAGGGTCTCTCAGGTCGCCTTGTGGAGAACAGATCACCCAGAAGAGAGACAGAATAATGGGCTCTTACCTTCAAGGACTCTGGCTGCACAATTCTCCGCTGAATGCCTACCTCTTTGAGTTTGTATCTCCGTCATCCAAAGCTGCTCCTCTCTCTCCAACTGGGATATCACATCTGGTTTAGAGAAGAGATGCCCTGTGAAAAGACAAGATTTAAGTGGGACATTAAAGGTAAAAAGTACTAAAACAAATTGGGGTTCCAATCCTATGATGGAAGGCTCTACCCCTCCTCCAACACAGTGTTTATCAAACATTTTGATGCAACTTACTAAATTAATTTCATAACTCAGCAGCGGGTCATGACCCACAAGTTTAAAAAAGATGTATGAGCCCTGGCCGGTGGAGTGTCGTCCTGTACGGGTTCGATTCTTGGTCAGGGCGTTACCAAGACTGTGCATACGGGGGTGGGGAGGGTGCAACCGATGTTTCTCTCCTCTCTCCCCCTCTTGCTTCTTCTCTCCCTAAAATCAATAAAAACATGTCCTCTGGTAAGGATTAAAAAAAAGATATGTGAAATAAGGAGCCAGGTACAGACAAGCTCAACTGTTCATTTATAATTAATTACAAAAGACAAGTGTTTGCCTTGGAACAAAGACTAGAAACCTCTTGTCTCTATGTTCCTAATAGACTGGAAAACTGGTCTCTACAGGGTCCTGAAGCCGTGAAGTAGTGGGCAGAGGCCAGGGATGCTAACAAACATCCTACAATGCACAGACAGTCCCTACAATTACCTGGCCCACAGTGTCAACAGTGTCAACTGAGAAACCCTGCTCAATGGACAAAGCCATGTTACAGAGGGCACCCGTCCTCACCCACTGAGACCAGGTTCTGGAAGTTCTCCAGGGTCACGTCTCGGTACAGCTTCCTCTGGACAGAGTCCAGCAGCCCCAGCTCCTCCTCGCTGAAGACCACAGCCACGTCCTTGAACGTCACCGGCTCCTACAACACCGAACACACGTAACCTCTGTTTTACATCTGGGAGGAGGGTAGCACTGAGAAGGTGGAGGAGATAGTAGGATGTTGTTCCAGACTCTACCGGACCCAGAACTCATTTTAGTAGAGTTTCTCCTCCTCCCCTGCCACAATCACACCATAAAGGGAGGGAGAGGAAGAAACTAAGAGAAACATAAAAAAATCTTGTGCACATTTAACACGGTGCCCTTTATGTCCTTAAATGAAGCCTCTAGAGCCCAGGCCGGGTAGCTCAGTTGGTTAGAGCATCACCCCAAAAAGCCAAGGTTGCAGGTTCAATCCCTGGTCAAGGCACATACAAGAATCAACCAGTGAGTGCATAAATAAGTGGAACAAGTTGATGTTTCTTTCTCTCTTTCTCTCCCCCCACCCCCAAATCAATAATAAATAAATAAAGCCTCTAGAACAGTCACTGTTAAATCATGGCATACACGTTTTACAATTAGACTGACAGTGCCAGATATTGTACGAAACTGAGTTAATTTTGATCCAACGGTACGTAATAGAGCCTATCTCCTCCTCTCCCTGGTAGTACCACCATTTCGTCAATGTCTGCCAGTCGCACAGGCTTCCAGGACCCCTCTGGAGCAGGTATGTAACGCATTCTCCGTCCTTGGGAACACGCTGTGCCTGCCAACAGCAGCAGCGTTCCTGGCAAGGTTAAGGGCACAGGCTCTGGAGACGAACTGCCTCAGTTCACACTCCAAGGCTCTGTCCACTACTAGCTCTGTCACCTTGGACAAGCCACCTCACTTCTCAGTTTCCTCATGTGTATAACAGGACATCACAGGGCACTGGAAGGATTAATGAGAATATGCACAGGATTTAGGACGGTACCCGACACATATGAAGTACACGGTAAATGTCAGCCATCACTATTATTACTATCAGTAGTCAGGGCTGCCAGGTGTTTCATAAAAGTGATGATCTATAATATATTTAACCATAACAAATAACCAAATAATGCAATAATGTAAAATTTTAAATGATTGATAATGCTGCACACAACATATTTTTACATAGATCTCAGCCAGCTGGTCTGGTCTTCCCTTAGGACAGTGGTTCTCAACCTTCTGGCCCTTTAAATACAGTTCCTCATGTTGTGACCCAACCATAAAATTATTTTCGTTGCTACTTCATAACTGTAATGTTGCTACTGTTATGAATCGTAATGTAAATATCTGATATGCAAGATGGTCTTAGGCGACTTCTGTGAAAGGGTCGTTCGACCACCAAAGGAGTCGCGACCCACAGGTTGAGAACCGCTGCCTTAGGATCAGTTCCAAGAAGTGGCCATTGTGTTGCAAAAAAATATGCACCTTTGTTTTGCTAGTATAATGCAATTATCCCAATTAACCTTTCCTTTGAGAGGTTAAAAGTGCTCCGAGTCTCCATACTCCAGCCAAAATTCAACATTATCTTATTTTTTAAATCTTGGGTAATTTAGTCAATGGTAAAAACAGTTCTTTTTTAAATTCCCATTTATTTAACTTTTTTAAAAGATTATCTTTGGCTGTAGCTGGTTTGGCTCAGTGGATAGAGCATCAGTCTGTAGACTGAAGGGTGCTGGGTTCGATTCCAGTCAAGGGCACATGCCTGGGTTGTGGGCTCGATCCCCAGTGGGGGGTGTGCAGGAGGCAGCCAGTCAATGATTGTCTCTCATCATTGATGTTTCTATCTTTCCCTTCCTCTCTGAAATCAATTTTTTAAAAAAAGATCATCTTTGGATATGTTTTTCACATATTGCCTGTTCACTTCATTTGCTCATATCCTCATGCATCAGGAAGATTCCTATTGCGAACATTTAAGCCTTTTTCTTGCATTTATAAATCCTCAGCTTCACCCCCATTCCTATTTCCTATTTGTCTCATAACTTTGTGTACATCATTTTACTTTTTCTTCATATTTTCAAAAATAGATTTCAGAGAGAGGAAGGGAGAGGGAGAGAGAGATAGAAACACTGATGAGAGAGAAAATCGATCGGCTGCCTCCTGCACAGGCCCCTATTGGGGATGGATCCCACAACCCAGGCATGTGCCCTGACAGGGAATCAAACTGTGACCTCCTCATTCATGGGTCAATGCTCAACCACTGAGCCACACTGGCCGGGCTTTTATTCTTTTTTAACCCTCACCCGAGAACATGCTTAGAGAAAGGAATGGAGAGAGAGGGAGGGAGGGAGAATAGGAGTGGGGATGGAGAGAGAGAAGCATCAGTGTGAGAAACATCTACTTGTTGCCTTCCGTACATGCCCCGACCAGGGATGGAACCTGTAAACTGGGTACGTGCCCTGACCTGGAATCAAACTGGTGCACAGGACGATGCTCAACCGAGATACTCCAGCCGGCCTATGGCATTTTTCTTTATGGAAATTAAAATTATGTATCTGAAGACTTTGCTCATCTCTGTATTTCATTTGACTGGAGTTCTGAGCATCTGTGTACTGAACAACCCGTTGACACATGTGGGGAAGAGACAGGTGCTAAGAAAGCTGCCCCAAGGGAGGGGCAATGTTATTTTTGGAGCCCTTCATCCACCAGGCATACCAGGTATACACGCAGCGTGGCCTCGGGCCCTCAATATAGTAGTCTCGTTTCGCCTGCGTCTCTCCATTTACCTTAGCTGGATTCCTGAAACTCCTGGCTCAGGTAACTGAACCTTTAGTGTGTAAAAATAACTTAAACAGATCCACTTCAGAATGGAATCCGAGCAGCCATCAGAGGAACTGCTTTGTAAGTTTTGCTTCTCAAGCCTTTGGGATGTAACAGGAGGCAACATAACCTTTGCGCTGGGCCAAACGCAGCACTGCATCTCAACATCTGTTTGCAAAGCTAGCAGGAAAGCAGACATTCTTTTTTATTTTTTATTGATTTGAGAGAGAGAAGCATCGATTTGTTCCACTTATTTATACATTCATTAGTTGCTTCTTATATGTGCCCTGACTGGGGATTGAACGGGAAACCTCGGTGAATCGGGACTACACTCTAACCGCCTGAACTAACTGGCCAGCCCAGACATTCTTTACAATTAGTATCACTGCGTTATCCTATCTGCACCTGCAGACATCTATCCTTAGCTTATTAACACCCATAGGAACTCCTTCCTTCTATTCGTGTAATTATTCCCCTTCCTTTCTCATAAATATCCCTTCCCTTGGTCTCCTAATGGGAACAATATTTGGGATTCTGCCTGAATCTCTGCTTCCCCAATACCTATTTCTTTTGGATCTCAAACGAAAGTTTGCTGCCTCTCACTTTGGCCTTTTATTTTTAGGTTAACAGGTGTCACCCGGGGTCTGAGTGGACTTCAGTAGGTATGTGAATGTTCACAAATCTGTTTATGTTAAAATATGAATAAACCCTGGCCAGGTAGCTCAGTTGGTTAGAGTGCTCCCCCCCTACCCCCCAATACACTAAAGTTGCAGGTTCAATCCCCAATCAGGGCAGATACAAGAATCAACCAATGAATGCATAAGTAAGTGGAACAACAAATCAATGTTTTCTCTATCTCCTCCTCTCTCTAAAATCAATCAATAAAAATAGAATGCAAACAAGACCATCTATATCCTCACACAGCTATTCCACAGAATAAAGGCCTGGCAAGTCCCTGGTGGTGCTAGACCAAGGATGTACTTCTTTAAAATATACTAACATGTCAATGAAAAAAAAACAGAAACTTAACTATAATGCATACATGGTTTAACTTAGAATTAAAGAAAGAATGTAGCTCTTCTTGTTTGAAAACAACTAAAATTCTTTTCTCTGAGTTCAGTATCATCTGGACTTGGTTGCACCAAGATATACTTTAGATATTTTTTCCCACAAAATGTGAGGCACCATGTATCAGAAAACAGTCCCTACAACTTTAAGGAGAGAAAAAAAATTGAATTCTCAGAATTTCTGTTTGGGGGAAAAAGGGTTTTATGTTAGAAAACTGTCATTGCAAACAACTTTAAAGTAAAATTCATAAAACACAAAAATAGAGGAAAATATTAGGTGCAGACAAAAAGAGGCCACATACTAAACCTGACAAGCTCAGGGGAGGCCTGCATGGCAGCCTTAAAAACTCAGAGACCGAAAGCAACCTCAAAGGATGGTCTCCCTAAAATTAAAACTTTTTAACTAAAAGCAGTTTATGGCAGGTAGTCATGTCCTAGGCTAGAATCTTCCCTGACAAAAGTCAACCTTTACCTTAATTGAGCCTGTCTACTGTCTTTTTGCATCTGTAATAACACACCTTTGCAATGTCAAAGCACAGGCACTGCACCAGATCGGACACCACAAATCCCCTCATTGCTATTAACCGCTGACCATTAACTATGCTGCACCCACCTACGTAAAAGAAGTATGTGTCTATCATTTTACTTCTTATCCAATCCCAGAGGTTCCCCCCACTGCCCCCCCACTTTACTTTCTCCCACCTCCCTAAACTGTCACCAGTGGCTTTCATGTAACCCACTTATGTCTTCTCTTTTTCTTGTAATGTATAAAATAAGGTGCAGCCCTAGCCTCTTTGGCTCAGTGGATAGAGCATCAGCCTGCGGACTCAAGGGTCCCAGGTTCAATTCCGGTCAAGGGCATGTACTTTGGTTGTGGGCACATCCCCAGTGGGAGGTGTGCAGGAGGCAGCTGATCCATGTGTCTCTCTCATTGCTGTTTCTAACAATCTACACCTCTCCCTTCCTCTCTGTAAAAAATCAATAATATATATATATATTTAAAAAAAAAATAAGGTGCAAAACTGCCATTCTCTAGAGCAGCAGTTCTCAACCTGTGGGTAGCGACCCCTTTGGCAGTCAAACGACCCTTTCACAGGGGTCGCCTAAGACCATCCTGCATATCAGATATTGACATGACGATTCATAACAGTAGCAACATGACAGTGATGAAGTAGCAACGAAAATAATTTTATGGTTGGGTCACAACATGAGGAACTGTATTTAAAGGGCCAGAAGGTTGAGAACCACTGCTCTAGAGCATTTTCTCAATCTGTTGAGATTTTACTTCCCAGCAATTGTCGACAGGTTTGACTCAAACACAAAAATTCTTCAGAGGCTTGAATGTTTCTTACATTGACTTAGGTATACTGTGGAAAATGATGTGGCCATTTAAGTCACAGGTGATATAAAATTAAACTTTAAAAAAATCCAAAATGGTAAGCTGAGATTACAAATATATATGTGTAAATAAAAATGAAAAAGATATGTGCAAAAATAAACAACAAATTAGTAAACATGTTTATAGAGTGGGAGTTGTTGTTTTTTTATTTAAAATAAATACCTATTGGGAGATTCCAAAATGGTGGCGGAGTAAGTGGATGCTACACTGACACACTCCCAGGAAGAAACTGGAATAACAACTAAAACACAGAAAACCATCCTGAATAATCAACTGAAGATTAGCTGGAGAGATCCCTATAACCATGGACAGAAAGTGGAGACCACATGGAGACTGATAGGAAGTGCAGAGGAGCGAAAGGCTGGCCGGGCTCCCACAGACAGCAGCTGAAGTTCTGGAGAGATATCTCGGCTCTGGAGGTTCCCATTGAGAATTCTGGAGTCTAAACCCCAAGCTGGGTTCCCCAGTCCAGAGCACCAGAACTGAGAAAGGTGCTCACAGAACATCTGGCTGTGAAAAGCTTTAGGGATGATGTCTGCCAAGGAGAGATGGCTGGAAATGCAGGCACCTCTTAAAGGACCAATGCACAAAATTTTGTGTACAGACACTCACCTTGGGTTCCAGCAGAGGGAGGGCAGAGTGGACTGGAGCTGCATGAGCAAAAGCCAGGGTTGGGAGTTCTGGGGTTAGACCTTGGAAAGTAGACACCCCAGGTTCCTATTCTGAGTCATTCCCTCACACTGCAGAAGACATCTTTCTCTGAGGGACCTTTGCTATCCAGGCAGTTTTTGCCGGGGGTGGGGGTGGGGGGTGGGGGGAGGAGGCAGTTGCCCCACCCTATTGGAAAACCCCTTGGCCCACCCTGGGGAGTTTCTGAGGCCCATTAAAAGACTAAGAATAGCCCTAACCGGTTTGGCTCAGTGGATAGAGCGTCGGCCTGCGGACTGAAGGGTCCCAAGTTCGATTCCAGTCAAGGGCATGTATCTTGGTTGTGGGCACATCCCCAGTGGGGAGTGTGCAGGAGGCAGCTGATCGATGTTTCTCTCTCATCAATGTTTCTAACTCTCTATCCCTCTCCCTTCCTCTCTGTAAAAAATCAATAAAATATATTTTTTTTAAAAAAGAGAGAGACTGAGAATAACAATAAGCCTGCAGGCAGAAGCAATTGCCCCACCACGTTGGAAAACTTCTTGCCCCCACACGGTGGTTGACAGCCTGAGGCTAATCAAGACCAAATACAATCAGACTGCAGGCAGAGGCAGGTTTCTAGAGACTTTGAGTCTTTGCCTGGTCTAATTCAGGGCCTGGGGCTAGAAAAAGCAGAACTTGGTCCTTTCCAAAGGCACCCAGCCCCAACAGAGGGAGCCACAAGCTGTGGATTGCTGAATGCTCCAAAGAGGGTATGCTGGGCCAATCAGAAACAGCATCTGACACTGTCCTATACTAGAGATTGGGAGACACAGCAGATCTATCTAATAGAGTCACAAACCCAAACAGGCAGTCAAAATGGGGAGACAAGAAAACAAGCCTCAAATAACAAGAGAATTCTCCAGTAGAAGAGCTAAATGAAATGGAGATAAGAAATTTACCAAAATGGACAAAGGACCTAAACAGACACTTCTCCAAAGCGGACGTACAGATGACCAAGAGACATATGAAAAAAAATGCTCAAAGTCACTGATCATCAAAGAGATGCAAATTTAAATGACAATGAGGTATCACCTCACACCTATCAGACTGACTACCTAAAACAAATCAACAAATGACAAATGTTGGTGAGCATGTGGAGAAAAGGGAACCCTAGTACACTGCTGGTGGGAATGCAGACTGGTGCAGCCATTATGGAAAACAGTATAGAGTTTCCTCAAAAAATTCAATATGGAACTGCCATTTGACCCAGTGATTCCACTTCTAAGAAACCCAAAACACTAATCAGAAAGAATGTATTCAACCCTATGTTCATAGCGACACAACTTACGAAAGCTAAGATCTGGAAACAGCCCAAGTGCCCATCAGTAGATGAGTGGGTAAAAAGGCTGTGATACAATTATACCATGGAATACTATGCAGCAGTAAAAAAGAAGGCTCTCTTACCTTTTGAGACAGCATGGAGGGGCCTGGAGAGTATTATGCTAAGTGAAATAAGCCAGTCAGAGAAAGAGAAATATCACATGATCTCACTTATATGTGGAACCTAATGAATAGAATAAATTGATGAACAAAATAGTTCCAGAGACATAGAAGCATAGAACAGACTGTGGAATCTCAGAGGGAAGGCAGGGGAGGGTGGGTGGGTGGGAAGTGATCAACTAAAGAACTTGTACGCATATATGCATAACCCATGGACACAGACAATAGGTTGATAAAAGCCTGGGGAGGGGGCAGGTGTGGGCTAGAAGGGGTCAATGGGGGACACAGGGGGGGCATGTCTAACACTTTCAATATTAAAAAGAAATTTATCACAGAGTTCAGAATAATGATGGCAAAGATGCTCAACAGCATGAGAAAAGATAGTAACTATGAAGAATGTCATAGCACTAACAGGAACACAGTGGAAGGAAAACACAGCAGATTAGGGGAAGCCGAGGATCGGATCAGTGAATTAGAAGACAGGATAGGAAAAAAAAATCACTCAATCAGAGAACCAGAAAAAAAAATTAAAAAACAGGACAGCTTAATGGAGCTATGGAACACAATGAAACATAACAATATTCACATGATAGGAGTGCCACAAGGAGAAGGAAGTGAGCAAGGGATAGAGAATGAGTTTGAAGAAATAACAGCAGAAAACTTTCCTCACCTGCTGAAGGAAAAAGTCACACAAGTTCAAGAGGCACAGAGAGTCCCAAGCAAGAAGAACCCAAACAGGCCCATCCCCAGTCAATCATAATTAAAATGCCAAAATTTAAAGACAAAGAGAGAATCTTAAAGGCAGCAAGAGAAAAGCAATTTGTTATCTATAAAGGAGCTCCCATAAAGCTGTCAGATGATTTCTCATCAGAAACTCTACAGGCCAGAAGGGAATGGCATGAAGTATTCAAGGTAATGAAAAGCAAAGATCTGAAACCAAGATTACTATATCCAGCAAGGCTATCATTCAAAATAGATGGTGAAATAAAGAGCTTTCCAGACAAAAAAGGCTAAAGGAGATTGTCACTACCAAACCAGCACTGCAAGAAATGCTAAAGGGACTGCTGTAATGAGAAGAACATAAAGAGAATCATTGGCATAGAGAATTAAAATGGCAATAGCCCTAGCCAGTTTTTCTCAGTGGTTAGAGCGTCAGCCTGTAAACTGAAGGGTCCCAGGTTCGATTCTAGTCAAGGGCACATGCTGGGGTTGTGGGCTCGATCCCCAGTAGGGGGCGTGCAGAAGGCAGCCAATAAATGATACTCTCTCATCATTGATGTTTCTCTCTCTCTCTCCCTTCCTCTCTGAAATCAATAAAAATATATTTAAAAATAAATAAATAAAATGGCAATAAATAATTACCTATCAATAATAACCTTAAATGTAAATGGATTAAATGCTCCAATCAAAAGACACAGGGTAGCTAAAAGGATACGAAAACCTGACCCAAATATAGGCTGTCTACAAGAGACCCACCTCAGAACAAGACAAACAGGATGAGAATGAAGGGATGGAAAAAAATGTTTCCATGCAAATAGAAATGAAAAAAAAGCTGGGGTAGTAATACTCATATCTGACAAAACAGACTTCAAAATGAAGGCCATCACAAGAGACAATAAAGTTCACTACATAATACTAAAAGGGACCGATCCAACAAGAGGCTATAACCCTGGTAAACATACTATATGCACCCAATCAAGGAGCACCTAAATATATAAAAAAAACTTCTGGATCTAACAAACAAAATAAACTATTGAACAAAATAGATTCAGAGACATAGAAGCCTGGAACAGACTGTTGAATCGCAGAAGGAAGGAAAGGTGGTGGGTGAGGGGGAAGAGATCAACCAAAGAACTTATCTGCATACATGCATAACCCATGAACATAGACAACAGAGTGGTGGAGGCCTGGGGCGGGGGTTGGGGCAGGCTATAAGGGATCAATGGGGAAAAAAGGGGACATAGGTAATACTTTCAACAATAAACATTTAATTTTAAAAATGTAAAAAAAAATACCTATTCACACTATTATTTGGAAATAAGCAAATAGCAAGAGCCTGTCATACAGCAATTTGTCAAGTGCCTTTGGTTCCCTCTTACCCTTCCCAGGAAGACATGCGTGTCCGACCTTTGTGAAATGAGATGTCATTTTAAGAAACAGAAAAGCAGACCCAACTCACCTGGAACTTGATCATTTTTCTCCTCTTCCTTGTGAGGAAAGGCAGAGTTCTGGGAAGGCAACACTGGGGAAGGGAAAGACATCATGAGAGAGAGGCTACGGATGCTGCCAGTCCACAGGGCCCTTCATAGGAGCACAAAGTGGTGCCCCCTTCTCTAGGCAGAGCAGTGACCACGAAGCTAAGTGAGAAAAGGGGCTGGACTCCAGCTTCCCCTGGACCCCAGCCAGCTGCCACTGTTCATCAACATTACTTAAAACAGTCCTACCCCAAGTGCGTCTTGACGTTCCAGAATATTCCTGAACCTGGGTATTGGAGGAAATGAAAGGCAGGCAGGCAGGCAGTATAACTCAATGGGGCCAAAATGCCTGGGTTCAAATTCTGGCATGTCTGTGTATTACTTTCTACTCATCAGCAGTGTAAATCTTGAGCAAGTCATTTGTCTCTCTGCGCCTCATTCCAGTCACCTATAAGTGGGGATAATAACAACGCCGGTATTCCCTGTTTCTTGCAGCTAAAGACAAGCAGGCGTTTAGGATTCAAAAAACTCTCTAGAATGTGATTAAAAAAAAAAAAAAAAAAAAGACACAAAGTGACTTTCTAAAAAAATCATTCTTTTAAGAAACCCAGAATTCAAAGATGATTGTTCTGCCCCATTACCCTCGGAAAAATCTAATTCTGAGTGGTTGTCTCACAGATAATTCCTTGTTAGTAATGACAGTTAAAGTGCCACGGATTTTCTTCTCCTAACGCGTATAATTACTTGCAAATGTTATGAAGCTGGAAGAGTCTAGACCAGCGGTTCTCAACCTGTGACCCTTTCACAGGGGTCGCCTAAGACCATCGGAAAACACATATATAATTACATATTGTTTTTGTGATTAATCACTATGCTTTAATTATGTTCAATTTGTAACAATGAAATTGGGGGTCACCACAACATGAGGAACCGTATTAAAGGGTCGCGGCATTAGGAAGGTTGAGAACCACTGGTCTAGACAAAGTTTCTTCTCCCATAGGCAAGAAGGTAAATAATGGCTAATAAAAACCTCAGCCTGATAAATCCTGTTGCATTTAAATCAACAACACGGGCTTATTACACAACATTGCACACTGATTGGGGCCCCACCACACGTGTAGTGAGGCACGCTGCAAAGCTGAGGTCACGACTGTTTCCGTGCAATTCAGGTACATGCTGTTAATACTATTTTTCTCTCCAATTGCACGGCTGTTTCCACGGAGGACTTGCTCCAGGGTCGGCGGAAGCCCAGAGGCTAGAGAGGGTCCAGGTGCAGAAGCAACAGCCCACATCCAGGCATCATCAGTGAGCTCCGACCCCATCCCGGGCTCACAGAAGCTTCCGAATAACAGGGCGCCTTTCTGAGGCTTACAACAGAATTTATGGTTAGCAGCCAACATTTTACTATGCACGAGGCTCTATTTTTAAGCTCCTTATATACAACCTCATTTAATTCTCATAAAAACACCATTGGGAAGAAGTAATCCTTTTTTTTTTTTTTTTTGCCGTGAGGAAACTGAGGCAAGGAGAGATCAAGGAACTCGCCCAATATTTTACCAAGAGCAGGAGGCAGAGCTGGCTGTCGGGTCTTCCAGGGGAGGACCTGGGGGAGCAGAGAGAGCAGGAGACTCTCAAACTCCGATACCTCGCAAGCCCGCCCCCGACTCGGGAGGCTCAGCTGAGCGGATGCTCGCCGCCGCCGCCGCCTCCACGTCCGCCCCTCGGGGGTTGGCCGGGGCTCCCCTTACTCAGGAGGGAAGACCCAGTCACTGCTCGCCCCGCGCCAAGGCAAAGAAGGTTCGGAGAGAGCGCCAGGACGCGGAGTTAACTCACCTAAGTGCGAGAACCTCTGCCCCAACCTCGCCTTCCGAGAGCGGAAGTGCCTCGGGCTACTCACGGTTCCTGGACTACATTCCCCAGAATCCCCAAGAGGAAGCGCCTAGTTTTCACGCACTCCGGTACTACGTTTCCCAGAATGCAGCTCGCAGGGCCGCTCTTCCCACCCGTCGGCTAGTTTTGACTAGAGAGGATTCCGATGGAGTCACCTGTCTGGCGCTTAACTGTCAGATTCCTTTTTGCTTTACTCATTTCTTAAAACTTATGAGAAAATAATTGCGGGTTTTAAAAAATGCGGCCACTTAAAAGAAAAAAGGGAAAACATGGTAATGACAAGTATGTAGGAAGTCTCAATCTTCAGTGTCCAAACTGTGCAAGCCAGGAGTGGAGGGGAGGAGGGGGAGTGTAGAATAGTGTTTAATTCCTTTACCTCCTCTAATCCAAAGACACCTAAGATTTCTTGACATGTTTATTTTATTTTATTTTATTGATTTTTTTACAGAGAGGAAGGGAGAGGGATAGAGAGTTAGAAACATCGATGAGAGAGAAACATTGATCAGCTGCCTCCTACACACCTCCTACTACGGATGTGCCCACAACCAAGGTGCATGCCCTTGACTGGAATTGAACCTGGGACCTTTCAGTCCGCAGGCCGATGCTCTATCCACTGAGCCAAACCGGTTAGGGCTCTAGACTTTTGTTGATGAGCGACAGTCTTCATGCAAAGATTCGAGGAACTTACAGAATGCATACTAAAAGATCTCAAAGATTCTAACCGATGAAGAGCTTGACAGAAGCAGTGACATGTAGCGCACTCTGGAAATCAGTCTGTCTCTCTTTGGGTTTCTGTCTGAAATAATGGTTCCCGAGCTCGCTTGTCTCGATGTTACAGAGCGTCCGCCTGCCGACTCTTTGGGGTCCCAGGTTCGATTCCAGCCAAGGGCATGTACCTTGGTTGCAGGCACATACCCAGTGGGGAGTGTGTAGGAGGCAGCTGATCGATGTTTCTCTCTCATCGATGTTTCTAACTCTCTATCCCTCTCCCTTCCTCTCTGTAAAAAATAAAAATTTTTTTTAAAAAAAAGAAAATATTGTGATGTGTGCATATGTAATATCCTGAATTGAGATCACGGGAAGCACTAATTCAGACAGAAACCCAAAGAGAGACAGACTGATTTCCAGAGTGCACTGCATGGCACTGCTTCTGGGTGGCTCTTCATTGTTTTGAATAATTGAGTCCTGTTAGTATGGATTCTTGTGGTATCACTAGTCTGTTCAAATTGCCTATTGCAAATAAACAAGAGTATACAGCCCTAACTGGTTTGGCTCAGTGGATAGAGCATCGGCCTGTGGACTGAAGGGTCCCAGGTTCGATTCTGGTCAAGGGCATGTACCTTGGTTGTGGGCACATCCCTAGTAGGGGGCGTGCAGGAGGCAGCTGATCAATGTTTCTGTCTCATCGATGTTTCTAACTCTCTATCCCTCTCCCTTTCTCTCTGTAAAAAATCAATAAAATATATTTTAAAATATATATATCTATATATATATATATATATATATATATATATATATATATATATATATAAAAGAATCACTGATCCTGAGAATGAGTTGCATATACTTAAAGTAATGTGACCAGGAGTTCCTGCAACTACATTTCCCGTGGTCCCTACCTGGCTGGCTGGCCTGATCAGCCCCAGGACTGGGCAAGTTGGGCCGGACATGCCCTGGAGCCCTCCCGCGGTCCCTCCCTAGCCCCGATTGTGCACCGGTAGGGTCCCTTGGCCTGGCCTGTGCCCTCTCACAATCTGGGACCCCTCGAGGGATGTCGGAGAGCCAGTTTTGGCCCAATGCCTGCAGGTCAGGTCGAGGGATGCCACCAGTGCATGAATCCATGCACTGGGCCTCTAGTCAAATATAAAGTCTAAGAGTTCCCAAACCAGTTCCTCTTAGCTGACATGCATCACACACATGTTGATGTTCACTGTTACTCTGAAGCCAAAATGATTCCCAATGCATAATTATAAAGTTATGCTTCCTCATTTCCACCTCTCAAAAGAGAAATGTTACATCTGGGACTAATTTGGACAAATAGTAACACACTTTATGTTCATATGTTATTCTCAAAAATTCATTCCAGTGCAGGAAATGGGACAGTGAGGAAGGTATGTTTTTAGTGGTTTTGAGACCCTTCCTAAAAGGAAAGCTATATCTGTCTATGATTTTTGCTTATATACTTTGAACCATTAATAACTGTTGTCTAAGAACTGTGATTCATGTGAGTCTTCTATGACAATTGATTACTTTGTGTTACTACAGGAGGTGATAGAATTGAAATAGAGTAAATTTTGGGGTTCTCAACTTTTCATTGACATTTTAGGAGAGTGAAAAACATTCATCTGTATGAAATAAGTTTAGTAAAAATTAACACATAAACAGTAGAATACTGTGCATCCATTAAAAGAATGTAGCAACCCCGCTGGTGTGGCTCAGGTTGAGTGTCAACCTATGAACCAGGAGGTCATGGTTCAATTCCTGGTTAGGGCACAAGCCTGGGTTGCAGGCTTGATCCCCAGTGGAGGGCATGCAGGAGGCAGCTGATAAGTAATTCTCTTTCATCATTGATGTTTCTATCTCTCTCTCCCTCTCCCTTCCTCTCTGAAATCAATAAAAATATATTAAAAATAAATAAAAGTTTAAAAACACCAAATTAGAAAATAGTATGCATAGTATAATTCTAGTTTTAAAAAATATTATACAGAAATATTTGCAAACATAACATGAGGCACAGTATTCACATTATGGCCCTGGACAACATGCTCAGTGGTTAGAGCATCAGCCTGCACACCAGAGGGTCAGGGGTTGGATTCTGGTCAATGGAAGGTACCTGGGTTGCAGGTTCAAACCCCACCCCCAGTCTGGGCATATGTGGGAGGCAACCAATCGATGTGTCCCTCTCACATCAAGGTTTCTCTCTCCTCTCTCTCCACCCTCCCTTCCACTCTCTCTAAAATAAATGGAAAAATATCCTTACTCCTTGGGTGAGGATCGAAAAAAGTAGTCACAGTATGTATCTGAATGAATTTGAATTTTAAAAGATTTTCATTTACACATTGAATTTTTCTCTCCAGTTTATACATGATGTTCAGGCATTAATTTTAAGCCAGTTTATTGCAGTGTAATTTACATATGATAATATTTACTCTTCTTAGTGTACAGTTCTATGAATTTTGCTTGCCAGAGAAAACCACTGTATACATGATGGTGAGTAATCTTTCACACATTATCTATTAAACATGTATTTGAATATATATGTGTACAGACTTAAATGAACTGGTTATTATGATCCCCATTTTCACTAAACAATATGCATGATTCTTTCCTATCATTTTAGGTCTCTTATATACTATCTCTTACATACATATTATAGATAGAGAAATTTATCTAAACTCCTATGTATTTCTAGTTTAAAAAATTACCCTCATTGTACACATCCTTTCTATATTATCATAAATTACTTTATTATTTCCAGATGGGTATGCATATTTGACATTTTTTAAAAGTTTTTTAATTTTTTTATTTATTTTAGAGGTAGAGGAAGGGAAATATCAATTTGTTGTTCCAGTTATTTCTGCATTCATTGGTTGCTTTTAAAAAATCCTCACCCAAGGATTTTTCCCATTGATTTTTAAAGAAAGTGGGAGGGAGTGAGGGGAGGGAAAAGGGGGAGAGAGAGAGAAATATGATATGAAAAACATTAATTGGTTGCCTCCTGCAGGTACCCGACTGGGGTTGGGGATTGAACCTGCAACCAAGGTACATGCCTTGACTGGGAATCAAACCCAGGACATTACAGGGCACAGGACTGTGCGAGCCACATCCTGCGTGGTTCAGGGTTCGGGATCTGGAGAAGGGCTGCGTGCAAATGACAGAGACAAGACAAGAAATAATAATTTGGAAATATTGGGGGCCAGGTGGGAAGCCCAACACAAGGGGAAGGACTTCCACTGGTGCCCAGGCCTTGCCAACCTTTTATTCAATTTTGGATACACATATAGCCCTTAGTCAGGCAGGCAATTCTGGTAACAGACAGACTATCTGAAAAGTAGACTATTTGGTCAGGAAATTGCTTGAGCCACCATTGTCTCGACTAAACAATTGGTGCATAGCTCTGGCCCTTGCCAGAGCTCAAAGTTCACCAGCGTTCCGGGCTCCTTGTTTACACTTCTCTGATAGTGAAGACAATGGGTAGCTTCCAACAAAGGATGACATTCTAACCCACTGAGCCACACTGGCCAGACAGCTGGCTGCTTCTTGTATTTGACCTGAAAGGGGATTGAGCCCACAACCTTGGCTTATGGAGACGACACTCTAACCAACTGAGCTACCTGGCCCGAGTACATATTTGACATATATTGTGTCACTAACTCTTCTCTAACAAGCTTATACTTTTCATTACCACCAACAATATACATTGTTCTTGAAGAGACCACCAAATAAAAGGCAATCATACCCTCATAATCAATATGTTTGATTAAATATTTCTAAAATTCAATGTTTTTCCTTTCTTTGTGTGAGTGGGAGAAGTATGGGGATGGAAAACTTGACAAAATTAAAGTCCTCCAAACTCATTACAGATCCTGCCTAAGGAGGTTAAATTGAGTAAAGGCTATAACTCAGAAACCAGTCAGATCAAAAGGCTTTGATGGAAAGATGGAGATTAAAAACAAGCATTGTAATTTTGACATTTATTAAGAAAGTATTTTTCAATAGTAACCATTTCCAACACTTTCCAAATATTACAGTAAAATTCTGCCTTAACACACAGGCAGGAGTAAAAATTCAATTATGTAAAATGCAGTGTTCCATTTTTGCAAAGTTAACCAGAAACATTACCAGTTTGCACTGTCATTTAAAGTGCACATATGTACATACTGACACACATACACACACACACACACAGCTAAAATTTTTAAACTGATAGTATATAAAAGTGACCAGATAGTAAGAAATTCAGCTCATCCCTACTTAAGATAGCATATAGGGCAGAAATAAATCCTAACAGGGTTACAACCAAATTCATGTCATTTCAGATTGAAATACTACTTGATGTTCCACGTTTCAAATACTTGATTATATTAAGGTTACTTGCAGTCTTCCAAATACATGTCTCTTTGGGGTGGGGAAATGAGCTTATTAAAAATTTCAATACACACTTTGTCATTTAGCACAAAGTACTGAGCACCTACATTGAGTTAGGCAATGATACAGTCTTAGCAGTGAATGAAGCTCCTCCCCTTAAGCTTACATTCTAGTGGATATGGATTTGGGCATGCTCATCATTGTACTTTTGTTAAATTCCTGACCGTACTTTATAAGCCCTAGTGCAACTAGTTAAAGTCATGTGCAATGACTGATGCTATACATCCCTTATGAAACCTCTCTCATTGGATATCTGCTGTGTGGTCTCCTATTGTGAATATTGTGAGGTTGGGTTAAAACATCACATTTTCATGAAAGATAATCTTTTTCTACTATAAGAACTCTAGTAAATGGGAAAATTCAGCTTCCATTTGAGGACTTCAAAACAAAGCAAAATCCCATTTTACAGGATTTCATTTGTGTATGGATTATCTGATGGATAATGCTTACCATACTGCTCACTTTTATAAAATGTATCACTGTGGACTCTTTGATGAATTAGGAGACCTGAGCTCCAACGAAAACCCTTACCACATGCATCACATTTGTATGGTTTCTCTCCTGTGTGGACTCTCTGGTGAGCCTGAAGATTTGATCTCTGACTAAAGCCTTTTCCACACACCTCACATTTATATGGCTTTTCCCCAGTGTGGACTCTGTGATGGGCTTGAAGACTTGAGAATCCACTGAAACCCTTGCCACACTGTTCACATTTATAGGCCCTCCCTTCTATGTGGATCCTCTGATGTGCTTGAAGACGTGAACTCTCACTGAAGCGCTTCGTACAAACCTCACACTTGTATGGTTTCCCTCCTGTGTGAACCCTCCGATGTGCTTCAAGGCGTGAACTCTGACTAAAGCCCTTCCCACACATCTCACATTTATATGGCTTCACTCTAGTGTGGACCCTCTGATGACCTTGAAGATATGCTCTCTGACTGAAGCCCTTCCCACACACCTCACATATGTATGGTCTCTCTCCAGTGTGGACACTCTGGTGGCTTTGAAGGTATGATCTCTGACTGAAGCTCTTACCACACTCATCACATTGGTATGGCTTCTCTCCTGTGTGAACTCTCTGATGGGCCAAAAGAGTTGAGGCCTTACTGAAGCCCTTATCACATTCTCCACATTTATAGGGTTTCTCTCCTGTGTGAACCCTCTGATGAATTTGAAGATTAAAGCTCCAACTGAATCCCTTCCCACACTCCTCACATTTGTAGGGTTTTTCTCCAGTGTGGACTCTCTGATGGCCTTGAAGGTGCGAACTCCGACTGAAGCCCTTCCCACATTCCTCACACTTATATGGTTTTTCACCAGTGTGAACTCTCTGGTGGCCTTGAAGGTATGAATTGCGACTGAAGCCCCTCCCACACTCTTCACATTTGTATGGTTTTTCTCCAGTGTGGACTCTCTGATGGGCCTGAAGGTATGAACTGCGACTGAATCCCTTATCACACTCCTCACATTTATAAGGTTTCTCTCCTGTGTGGACTCTTTGATGGACATTAAAAACTGATCTATGACTGAAGCCTTTACCACAAGCATTGCATTTGTATGGCTTCTCTCCAGTGTGGACTCTCTGGTGACCTTTAAGTTTTAAACTCCAATTGAAGCCATTTCCGCACTCCTTATATGATTTCTCTCCAATGTGAGTTTTCTGATGGCCTTGAAGATATGAATTTTGGCTGAAGTTGTTACCACATGAATAATGCTTATAGGGTTGTTCCCTAGGGTGGACTATCTGAAGGTCTTGGAAATGTGAGGGCAGACTGAAGCCATTAGCACACTCCTCAGAATTATAAGGAATCTCTTCCATGTGAACTCTATGCTGAATATTAAGATTTGAATTACAAATGAAATCTTCCTCATACTCTACATCTGTGCAGAGTTTCTCTTCAGTGTGGATTTTCTGATGGACTTGAGGATGAGAACTATGATTAAGGACATTCCCATTCTCCTTATATTCATGGGGTTCCTGCCCAGTGCTAACCCTAAAAATACCACCAAGGTCTAAGCTGTGACTGAAGGCTTTCTCACAACTATAGGATGTCTTCCCTGTGTGAATAAGTCCATCCATGTTAAGAGAGGAGCACCGATTCAAGTTCTCACCATATTCACATATACACGGCTTCTCTTCTGTATGTTCTCTCTGATGGGATTGCAGATGTGAAGTCTCCAAAATACAATCATCTCTTCTATGAACACATTGATGAATATGAAGAACTGAATTATAACTACAGCCCTTTCCACATGGACTGTATGTATGGGGTTCCCCTTCTAACTGTTGATGAACCTCAGAGCTGAAGTCATCCCTGATGACTTTTCTGTAATCATTATAGGGGCAGGGCTTTTGTCTTGTTTGAATTAAATCTTGATTATGCAGTGACACCTTCCTAATGTCTTCTCCACAGTCATGGCAGTTGTGGGTTTTTTCTGTTCTGTGTCCTCTCAGATTGTCATTGTGATGTGAGATCCAACTGACGCCATCACACTCACAGATACTATTTTTCATGGAAACTTGTTGACATCTACACTGATAATTATGTGGCTCTGCCAGACACATTTTACTGCAAGAATGCTGGGCTCTCCAATATGGAAATTCTTGATTTTTTATGTTATCGGAACCATCCTCTCCAGGAGTCAATATATAGTTCCCATCTTCAGAAATCTGCATTGGTATTCCTGCCCAAACCTGGCAGGGGGAATCACCTTGTTTTTGCAACTTAGAAATATTCCTTTGAAAATTTTTCATGGAATCTTGACACCTGGTTAACCCATTTGCACCCTGTTGCCAAGTCTGCCAGGAGGAAAGCTCTTTGGGAGAAAGGTAGCTTAATCCCACTTCTTGAAAACTCTTCACATTATGTTGGTTCTTGATTCCTATAAGGATAAAGAGAACTTAGACATATATATAGTGAATGCTTTATTCATATTTCAAGATTTTGCACTTAAGTTATAACATGAAACTTCAATGAACTGGAGGAATATTCATGTGACCACCTCTAAGAATACTTAGAAAATGGCTCTTCTGCCCGGCGGTGGGGCTTAGGGGTTGAGCGTTGACCTATGAACAAGGAGGTCATGGTTCGATTCCTGGTCAGGGCACGTGCCCGAGTTGTGGGCTCAATTCCCAGTAAGGGGCATGCAGGAGGCAGCCGATCAATGTTTGTCTCTCATCATTAATGTTTCTATTTCTCTCCCTCCCCGTTCTTCTCTTAAATCAATAAAAATATATTTTTTGCCCTAGCTGGTTTGGCTCAGAGGGTAGAGTGTCAGCCTGAGGACTGAAGGGTCCTAGGTTCGATTCCGGTCAAGGGTGCATGCCTAGGTTTCAGGCTCAATCCCCAGTAGGGGGCATGCAGGAGGCAGCCAATCAATGATCTTCTCTCATCATTGATGTTTCTATCTCTCTTCCCTCTCCCTTCCTCTCTGAAATCAATAAAATTATATTTTAAACCATATATATATATATATATATATATATATATATATATATATATATAATGTAAATACATATACATACATACTAGGGTCCCAGTGCACAAACTCGTGCACCTTGAAAGGAACTGTGGGACATGAGGCTACAGTTGGCACAGGGGCGGATCTCGGCCCATCCTCTGCGACCCCACCTGGCCCCTCCTGCCACGGCCCCCCGGTCCCGTCTGCTGGCAGCCCCACTCCCACCACGGCCGCTCCCACGTGCTGATGGCACCGGCCCACTTGCACCCACTGAAGGCGCAGAACAATTGGAGCCGGCGCCAGCATCGGGTGCGAGTGGGGCCGGCACCGTCAGCAGGTGCAAGCGGCAGCTGCTGCCCCAATCGCCCCTCAGGAGCAGGGGGAGGTGGAGAAGCCCTCAGGGGCAATCAGGGCCAGCAGCCACCGCTCTCACCCACTGATGGTGCCGAGCAATTGAGACTGGTGCCGGGCACCGGCAGTGGGTGCAAGCGGCGTCTCTGGCACCAGCAGCAGGTGCAAACGGGGCTAACGCTGGCAGGTGCAAGCACTGGGTGGGACCGCAGTGTGCAAGAGCAAAGAATTTTCAGTAACCACCGGAGGCTCGCCCCGATGACAGCGACCGATGCCCTGCCTTGGTCTGGCGCCCCTGCTCACTTGCTCCACCATCCCACCACAGCCGATGCCTGCCATGTTCCACACATGCCCCCTGGTGGTCAGCACGCATCATAGTGACCAGTTGTTTGGTTGTTCTGCCATTCGGTCTATTTGCATATTAGCCCTTTATTATATAGGGGATATATATATATATATATATATATATATATATATATAAAGAAAATGGCTGTTCTTTAGCTACATCAGGAATATAAGTAGAATTCATATAATTGGGGATACATGTTTCAAAGTCAGGGCTTTGCAACACAGCTGGATATTGAACGTGGTGGCCCTGTTCAAAGGTTTAGTAAAACCATACACATTATCATGGATTGCCTGGAGATGCCAAGGAAAAAATAGAAGGGGATAGTCTCAAATTAGAAAGAATATTTTTCAAGTGGACAAATCCTTTTTGTCCTGATAATAACTTTTTCTTTTATCTCTAGCACATTGGCATGATAATGTTTGAGTTTGTCTGTTAAATTGTGTGCAGACGATGGCAAATGTAGATCTTTAATCGATGTTTGAGGCATCATGTGGACTATCTCTCATAAGGTATTTATCATCATGAGAATAATAAGTTCTTCTAAGTCACTGTAAGCCTTTATCAGCTTTAACTCCTTTCAAAGGATATCTCACAATTACCAAGGGCCATGGTGCAGATCAGAATGTGAAACAGAGACAGAATTTCAAAGACATCAGAAAAAATGGAGGCTGAGGGAGGTAAGCAGAGCCAAATTTCATGGCAGCTGTAGGTGTCCTTTAAGGCAAGTTATCAAACAAACAAAACTCAGTGAACACTGATGTTGGCTTGCACCATTTTATTGTAAAGTTACTTTAATGTTTAGGGACTCTAAGTCACCAGAAGAGTTGAAGCCAGGAGTGTTTGGATGGAAATGGATTGTCACTTAGTTATTAAAGCTCAGATTATAAACAGACTGCAGATGTTCATAACCTGCAAGAAGTAGCCTTCCTGAGGACACCTGGTTCAACATGGTTAAAGTAATAATATGTACTCTTCTAACACGTGGCAGTACATTAATTTTCTATAGCAGCCAGAAAAGAAAGCAATAAAAGAGTATTTTTTGGGGGGGAGGGGCTAACAAATTATCTTCAAACATAATCATGTTTCCTATCTATTTGTACCTGGTGTCTCTCCACATTGGAATGTATTATCCACAAGAACAAGCACTTCGTTTTGTGCACCGTATCACCCTTAGTGCCTAAAACAGTGATGGCGAACCTATGACACGCGGGTCAGAGGTGACACGTGAACTCATTTTTTTGGTTGACTGTTCTTTGTTAAATGGCATTTAAATATATAAAATAAATATCAAAAATATAAGTCTTTGTTTTACTATGGTTGCAAATATCCAAAAATTTCTATATGTGACACGGCACCAGAGTTAAGTTAGGGTTTTTCAAAATGCTGGCATGCCGAGCTCAAAAGGTTCGCCATCACTGGCCTAAAACATTCCTAGCGAATAGTAGTTTTGTAATAAGCATAGATCATAGTTTGCATCATTCTCACTCACAGAACTAAAAGGGCATGTATATGTAAGTTATTTTTCATAGGAAAAGAACCAGTGATGGCAATTTTGCTGCAAAGCTGAAAAGACTGTATGAGAGGTAGGGCTACACAGAGGCATCTATCACCTGCTCATGAGAACAGCAAAGGTCACAAGAATGCCTTGGGGATTGAATCATTTTAATTTAAAAAATATATATATACTAGAGGCCCGATGCACAAAATTTGTGCAAGGGGCTTGGCTGTCCAGCTGTCTGGTCTAATTAGCATATTATGCTTTTATTATTATAGATATTTTAAATCTTCACTTGAGGATAAATTTTTTATTTTTGAGAGAGAGATTAATGTGAGAAACATCAATCAGTTGCCTTCTGTACCTGCCCGACCAGGGATCAAACCTTCATGTTAGGTATGTGCCATGACTTGGAATCAAACCCACCACCTTTTTTGGTGTACCAGATGACATTCTAACTAATTGAGCCACCTGGCCAGGCAAATCTTTTTCATTTTAAAAATAATCTTTAGCCCAGCCGGTGTGGTTCCGTGGTTGAATATGACCCATGAACTAGGAGGTCATGGTTCAATTCCTGGTCAGGGCACATGTCCAGCTTTTGGGCTAGATTCCCAGTAGGGGGCGTGCAGGAGACAGCCAATCAATTATTCTCACTCATCTTTGATTTTTTTTTTCTCTCTCTCCCTCTTCCTTAGTCTCTCTCAAAAAAAAAAAAATATTTTTTTAAATAACCTTTATGTTGCTATATATTTTCTCACACAAAATCTTACCTGTAGCCCCTCCCTATCTTCGAGTTAATAAAAAGGGAAAAGGAAAAGGCCATACTGATGATTGTGTGACGTTCTACTTGGAAACTACCCTGCACTGATCCCAGGGTAACACTTATGGCACATTTTTAAGATTTCAGTCCTTAAAAAAATTCTTAGTGAGGTTTCTGGCTTCTCAAAAGTAAATCTTCAGTTATTACATTAATATTTTATCACCTGAAGGTGAAATGAGGCATACTGTAGGAGGCATGCCAGATAAAGTAAACAGCTTATATGTAAAAAGTTTGGGCCTTTAGCTAGTTCATCATAATGCTTATAGTTTTGTTTTGGTATCATCAAAAAAATTCAATATTCACCCAAAAAGATACAGTTTAGTGTGTCGTGTCTTTTGGAACTGACATGGTGGCTTTAGGACCTGAAAGCAGCTTGTTACTGAAAGCTCAATTTCTTACAATTTTCAATAGAAATTTGTACAAAATTTATGACATAAGAATCTCTCAAATATACAAAAGAGATTTAAGGTTTTTTTTTGTTTGTTTGTTTGTTTACCAGCATTTTTAATGTTAAGGCATAGAGGGGGAAACTGTAATTTCATTTAGTTTCAGCCTCTCATGGAAAAGATCACATATTTAACATTAATTTTAATTAATCAACATTTTTTGATGGAGAAAATATGCACTGCAAAAAAGCACTGAAAGACATCACTTAAAGGAGAATTTACATCTTCTTAGTAATCCTCTAGAGTTTGAGAAAGTCAGCCATTCCAGTCCTGTATTAATTCATTCAATAATGAAGATGTCATACCAGGGGTACCGGTTAATAATGCGGATTTTGTAATCAAAGAAAACATGATAATTTCAAGAGAAACATCAAAAGTGCTCTATTCAAAGTAATGTCCATCACTAGCTACACATTTCCCCCATCTTTCAGGTAATTTGTGGATACCGTCCCAATAGAACTTTTCTTGTTTTGAGGCAAACCATTCAGAGACCCAATTTTCCACTTCTTCGTACGTTTTGAAGTGCTGCTGAGAAAGTGCGCGTGCCATCGATCGGAACAAGTGGTAATCTGAAGGAGCAAGGTCTGGTGAATATGGCGGGTGGGTTAATACTTCCCAGGCAAGATCTTTTAACATGTCTTTAACTGGCTTTGAAGTGTGTGATGGTGCATCATCATGAAGCAAAATTACTTTGCCGTGTCTTCTGGCCCATTCTGGTCGTTTCACGATCAAAGCGTGGTTCAAATTGATTATTTGTTGTCGATAGCGATCAGTATCAACGGTTTCACCTGGTTTTAGAAGCTCATAATACACCACACCTTCCTGATCCCACCAAACGCAGAGCATTGTCTTCTTTCCGAAGCGATTTGGCCTTGCAGTCGATGTTGATGGTTGACCTGGATCAACCCATGATTTTGTGCATTTGGGATTCTCAAAATAAATCCACTTTTCATCGCCAGTCACAATTCGATGCAAAAAAGACTTTCTTTCGTGCCGTTGAAGCAACATTTTACTGATGACTTTTCGGTTTTCCATTTGTCTTTTGTTCAGTTGATGTGGCACCCATTTTCCTTCCTTTAAAATCTTTCCCATTGCTTGTAAACGATCGGAAATTGTTTGCTGAGCAACATTTAATCTTTCTGCAAGTTGTTTTTGAGTCTGACCTGCATCTTCATCCAATAATGCTTGTAATTGTTGGTCTTGAAACTTTTTTGGTTGACCTGGACGTTCTTTGTCTTTCACATTGAAATCATCACTTTTAAACCGTTTAAACCAGCGTTCACAAGTATCTTGAGATGGAGCATGTTCACCATAAGCTTCCCGAAGTATACGATAACTTTCAGCAGCACTTTTCTTCAAAATAAAGTAATGAATTAAAACTTCCCGCAAATGCTCTTTTTTTGGCACGAATTCGACATTTTTAAGTGTAAAAATATCTATGATGTTAACACCTTCAGCAAATTTGACATATGAAGTTTTGAAGCTTGCTGTCAATACAACAAAATAGCATACATATCAAATCACATATATATCAACATATGTGTAACTCCAACTATTGAAAAAAATCCGCATTATTAACTGGTACACCTAGTAAAGCCCAACATATTAAAATTCTGCAGCATGCCAAAAAATATATTTTTTGCTGATCTGACAAAAAAACAGGTATAATTTTGATCATTCACACCAAACAGCTATTGTTGGTTGGCTGTTGTCATTTTTTTATTTGACAATTTAAGGAAAAAGAGGTCAGTGCTCCTGACTAAATAGTCAGGTGTTGCTTGTTTTAAAAATTCTTGTGGCACACTGGTTAAAAATAGCTGTTTTAACAGTTTTAAATAGTAAGAGAAATTAAGGCATTTTCTCGACAGAAGATACAGTAACAATGTTTTCATTATAGACTAATACGTAAGCTGCTGTGTGGGTTACACTGTTAACCACATCTGAGGCTTACCTTGCTTTAACAGAATATGTTTACCTTATTGGACCTTTTATGTGTTTCTACTTCTTTTTCTCACAACTGAATTAATTCTAAATTTGTTTTAGAAGGTTAACTATTGTCTCAATTTCTTTAACAGATATAGGCCTATTCATATTGTTTCATTTTTATTGTGTAAGTTTTGGCAATTTGTCTTTCAAGAAATTAGTCCATTTCATCTACGTTATTAAATTTGTGGTCAGAGAGTTTGTTCATAAGTATTATTTTTTTTTAAATCTACTTTTTTTTTTTAATCCTCACCCAATGATATTTTTCTATTGATTTTTAGAGAGAGTGGGAGAGAGGGAAAGACAGAGAGAAATATTGATGTAGAAACATCATTGATTGGTTGCCTCTTGCACGAACCCTGACCAGGGCCTGGGCCGAGAAGAAGCCTGGAACCAAGGCACGTCCCCTTGACCGGAATTGAACCCGGGACCCTTCAGTCCACAGGCCGATGCTCGAGCCACTGAGCCTAACTGGTGAGGGTCATAGTCTTCTTTTAATATCCTTTTAAAGCTCACGGGTTCTAAAGTCATGTCTCCTCTTTCATTTCTAATATTCGTAATTTGTGTCCCCTTTCTTCTTAATTAGCCTGGCTAAATTTGCATGTCAATTTTATGCAATCTTTTTCCAAGAACCAGTTTTTGGTTTCACTGGTTTTCTCTATTGATTTCCTATTTTCAATTTCATTGCTTTCTGCCCCAATTCTCATATTTTATCTGCTTATTCTGGATTTAATTTGCTCTTCTTTTTCTAGTTTCCTAAGGTAGATGCTTAGATGTTTGAATATTTCTCCTTTTCTAATGCATGGAATCAATTTCTCCTAAGTACTGCTTTTGCTGCATGACAAAATTTTGATAAGTTGTTCTCCTTTTCATTTTGTCCAAAATATCTTTTAATTTCTCAAGATTTCTTCTTTTACCCATGTGTTATTTAGAAAAGTGTTGTTTAATCTCCATGTATTGGGGGATTTTCCAGTAACTTAATTTACTAATATCTACTTAATTCCACTGTGGTCTGACAGCAGACTTTTATGATTTTTATTCTTTCAAATTTGTTAAGGAATGTTTTATGGCCCATGTTTCATGTGAGCTTGAGAAGAGTTCTATTTTCCATATTTTTAAAAATATATTTTTATTGATCTCAGAGAGAAAGGGAGAGGGAGAGATAGAAACACCAATGTTGAGAGAATCATTGATTGGCTGACTCCTGCACGCCCCCTACTGGGGATCGAGCCCACAACCCAGGCATGTGCCCTTGACCGGAAAAAAACCTGGGACCCTTCAGTCCGCAGGCCGATACACTATCCGCTGAGCCAAACTGGCTGCGGCAAGAGTTTTATTTTTCAAAGTATCCACATTAACAATGGCTCCAACTCTATGCCACAAAGCTATCATTTTAGAATTAGTTTTAACTCAGTCCACAGGGAAAAATATATAATATTATGAAAACAAAAACAAGGTTATGTGGGGCTGGGGCAGAGAAACAGCTATTTCTCTGTTTCATTGTAGGGCATGACACTCAACTTGGGACAGAAAAGGAGATCATAGTAGGAGAAACATGATCAGTATGTTTGTGCTCACATAAATGTCAAACTTGAAAGGTCTACTTCAAAATTTTAGTTAAATACAGAGACTATATAGGGCTTAGAGAATGGGAGGGGGAGACAGGATAGAATGGGAAGGTAAAGAGCTGGGCTTACGAATAAGGAAGTTATCGCCAATGCAAAACTGTCTCATTTGAAATTGTTGCATGGGAAGCCCAATTATAATGTTGGCATTGATCATGTTCGATACTTATTCTAGTTGATTAGTGATTCTTAATCTTTTAGGAATAATGGCTACCCATCTATGAATATTCAAGGACACCTAAACAGAATTAGGATAAGCATTCCTGATGACAAAATAGCATTCTGGAGTATCCTTTGATAACACTGATTTATTTTATACTGACTAGCTAGCTATCTCAGGGAGGATTGGTGACAGTGAAGACAATGTGTCTATTAACCAATTCATTCACTGAAGGCAGAGAGAAAATCTAGACAAGGAACCTGAAGCAGAAGCATGAATGATAGCCTGAGGGGCAGCAGTGGGACAGTGCAGCTGGAACAGAATGGCTGAGCCAACAAACAACAGTAGGAAGATATGGAAAGCTAGAGGGTGCAAGGGCACAGAAATCTGAAGGCCTAAGAGCCACGGTAAGTACTTTAGATTCTACCACGTGTGCAATGGGAAGCCTTCAGAGTTGAAAGCTCTGACTTGTTCGAGGAGGGGCTCTTTGGCTGCTGGGTTATTGCTGGACAGTTCTCACCTGAACACCCATCTTTCTGGGTTTCTGTCTCCACCATCAAACGCTTTTCTTCTCTCTCCAGCTGGAAGATAAGGTCTGGTTTGAAGAGCTGAGTCCCTATAAAAAGGCAAGAAGAGCAAAATTTTTAAATTTTGAAGCCCAATTTATCATTTTCTTTTCTGATTCATGCTTTTGGTGTCCCATCTAAGAATGCTTTGAAGGTCATGAATATTTTTTTCCTGTTTCCTTCTAGAAGTTTCATACTTTTAGATTTACATTAGATCTCTTACCTATTTTGGGTTAATTTTTTCTGTGAGGTGTAAGACATGCAAATAGAGGCATATAGGCGTCCAAGGTTTCTGCTCCACCTGCTGAAAAGACTGCACCTCTCCACTGAATTGCCTTGGCACCTATACTACATCTAGAATAATTTCAGCTCAGTTGATTAGTGTCATCCCCATAGGCCAATTGCTAGAAAAGGGTAAAGGGTTAATACATAGTTTTTTGTTGTTTTCTTGTTTGTTTTGTTAATACCTGAGGATATTTTTTCCATTAATTTTGTTTTAGAGTGGCAGGGAGGGAGGAAGGGGGAAAGAGAAAGAAAGAGAGATAAAGAGAGAGAGAAAGAGAGAAACATCGATGTGAGAGAGGCACATCGATTGGTTGTCTCCTGCATTCATTGGGCTGGGGAGTGAACCTGCAACCCAGGCATGTGCCCTTGACAGGAAATGGAACCCGCAACCTCTCTGAGCACGGGTTCTAACCACTAACACCGGCCAGGGCAGGTTAACACAGTTTTATTATAAACTGTCAAATTCCCCTCCTTTGTGTCTGTATCATTTTGTATTTCTACTTTCAATGTATGAAAGTTGTTTTATTTCCCACAACTTTGCCCCAAAAATGTTTTAAATTTTTTGCCAATCTCATGAGTCAGAAATGGTATTTCAAGTACATTTTAATCAATGTCTCTCTTATTTTAAATAAAACTAAACATCTACTCATATGTACATATTCACATGTAGTTTGTATGTTATGTATAAGAACAAGTATGTGCATGCACATACACACACATCCCTACTTCCTGGCTCTATCCCCTGAGACCAAGAAACAAAATGACAATGACAATTCTTAACATCCAGACCTTGAAGTTAAATACCGTTCTCTAATAAAATAAATGGTTGATTCCAGAGCTGGGGCAAAGGAAAAGATGAGCATAACATAAGGAAGTGTTAAAATAAAATGGGCATATTACAAGGGCACAAGAGTCAACTTAAAAGGTTGGCCAGATATGGGACAATTTTAGCACCAAAACAATTATAGCAGTAAATTATAAGTCATATTAAAAAATATTTCACAAACCCCTATAAATAACAAATAAATGAATCTGCTTATTGTAGAACGTCAAGTGCTGACTGCAAAATATGAGGGAAGTACTAAGTCAGAACATCATTTTGTAACTATCGTGGTAAAGACTGAATAAGGCAAGGATCATCATTGGATACTAAATATTAGTGTGGTCTTAAAAAGTGTTGCCTATGATAGCAAGAGGAAAGCAGCAGTAGTTTTACAGTGGAGAAATTGGACAGTGCCTTGACAGTGATCAAAATTAAACTCGCCCACAAGGGACAGGTGGTGCGCCTCTGGATGTGATGCCTCAAAAGGACACACCGCTCCCAATGCAGAGTGCCAGCCAGAAAGGATCACCTGGATCTAATTAGGAGGAGATGAGGAAAGTTCTATCAGAATTGGGGGACAGGTAACAAGATTCTTCAAAAACGTCACTGCCATAAAAAATAAAGAAATGCTGTGGAAAGGTTCTTAATTAAAGGAGGTCAAAGAGACATGACAGCTTGACTAGATCCTAGACTAGATCTTGCTCTGGAGGGAGAAAGAATGCTATGAGAATAGGCTCTGTTCATAAAATTAGAGCATAAATGATAGGATGGATAAAAGTATTATATCTGCACTGGGGATATGTAGGAAAATATTCTTACTTCTACAAAATATACTGTTCAGCGAAGAATTAACCTTGCCCAAAGCGAAGTATGGTCTTTGCCCTCAGCTCTCAGGAGGTGGTCTTGAAGCCCTCGGAATGTCCTACTCAGTGAGAGTGTCTTTCTTACCCAGAGGCCGTGGGCCAGACCAGATAGCCTAACAATGTGACTTATGGTGGGGGTTTGGGCCGCGTGCTATCAGCTTGATTTCCAGAGGGGCTGGAAACTAAGGTAAGCCACACAGGTGTCCACCACATCTACCTGACCAAGCCCCCAGAAAACTCTGGGCGCCACGACCCGGATGTAATACACCACGTGTACTGGCGAACACTTTGCTGGGACGTCAGTGCTGCCCACGACTCCCCTGGGAGAAGACAACTGGAAGCCTGTGCCGGAGATGCCCCTGGACTCTGCCCATGCATCTCCTCCCTTGGTTAACTATTCATCTCCATGGAATGAACTGTAACCATGAGTATAACAGCTTTCGGTGAGTTCTGAGAGGCTTTCCAGCTCATTACCAAGCCTCGGGGTATTCCTGGAGACCCCTGACTAGCAACTGGTGTCTGAGAGAGTGTAGTCTTGGGGACTCCCAAACTCTGCACATACACGGAAGTATTTGGAGATAAAGAGGGATGGAGTATGTAAGTTACCCACAAATGGTTCAGGAAAAAAGTTATGAATATACATACATTTACATGTATATACAGCCTATATAATAAAGAGGTAACATGCAAATTGACCATCACTCCAACACACAAGATGGCCACCACAAGATGGTTGGCAGGGGAGGGCAGTTGGGGGGACCAGGCCAGCAGGGGAGGGCAGTTGGGGGCAATTGGGCTGGCAGGGGAGCAGTTAGGCATCAATCAGGCTGGCAGGGGAGTGGTTAGGGGGTGATCAGGCTGGCAGGCAGAAGCGGTTAGGGGCAATCAGGCAGGCGGGCAGGCGCGTGGTTGGGAGCCAGCAGTCCCGGATTGTGAGAGGGGTGCCCACCGGGATCAGGCCTAAACGGGCAGTCGGACATCCCTCAAAGGGTCCCAGATTGGAGAGGGTGCAGGTTGGGCTGAGGGACAACCCCCCCCACCCCGTGCACAAATTTTGTGCACCTGGCCTCTAGTAAACTATAAAAGAGAAAGAATCTGAGCATAAATGATAAAGCAAAGGTGTAAAATGTTATTTCAGGGGGATCTGGGTAAAAGCTAAATGGGTGTTCTTGTTCCATACATTTACTTTTGTAAATGTTCTATAACTTTAAAGTTACTTACAAATACACTGTTAAAGCGAGAAACAAAATACCTCTGAAAAGTCCAGTTAATAAACAGTTACTGACATCCTGAGAAACAAAGAAGCTGGAGCAACTCACTAAGCTCATCTCATGACAAACCAATGGGGCAGGACCACAATGTGCTCACTGTGATGTGTTCAAAGGACAGACACATCTTGCCTTGGTCACACAGGGATTATTAGGACTCCTAGATGCCCACGCTCAGAGAATGCCTGCAGGAGTCCCAGAGCTTTAAACAGCTGAGCACATAAAGACACTCAAGAGGCTGACACTGACTTTACAGAAGGCACCCATCCTCACCCACTGAGACCAGGTTCCGGAAGTTCTCCAGAGTCACATCTCGGTACAGTTTCCTCTGGGACGGGTTCAGCAGCCCCAGCTCCTCCTCCGTGAAGATCACAGCCACATCCTTGAACGTCACCGGCTCCTACAACCCAAACACACACAGACTATGTTTATGGAAGAAGAGCAGCAATGAGAAAGTCTAAGTAGGGAAAGTGTTCTGGTTTCTGAGGCACCTGATTCACATTTAAGGAGCTGCTTTCTATTTGCCTTCCACACGGCTAATTCCATCCATCAAAAGGGCTGCAAGAAAAGAAATCCTAATACTTAAAATTGCTACCTTTTGGTAGCACACCTAGAGGGAAGTCCCTGAACTCTGCTGCATCACAAGCTAATATTTTATTTATTTTTTTAAATTAATTATTTTTTTTAATCCTAATTGATTTTTAGAGTGAAAGGGAGAGGGAGAGACAGAGAAATACCGATGTGAGAGAGACACATCAACTGGTTGCCTCCCCCATGCCCCCAACCAGGGCCGGGAGGCACGTGCCCTTGACCGGAATCTAACCCAGGACCCTTCAGTCTGCAGGCCAACGCTCTATCCACTGAGCCAAACCGGCTAGGGCCATGAGCTAATATTTGAAATTTTATCAATAATGTCACCTAACAATTGTGACATTATTGCAGCTAAAAGTCCTAATAATCCCCGTGTGACAAAGGCAAGATGTTTCGGTCCTTTGAACTATAAATGAGCACATTGTGGTCCTGCAGCATTGGTTTGTCATGAGATCAGTTTAGTGAGTTGCTGATATTTTAAATTTTATCAATAATGCTCCAGAAAAGATTTAGTTCTCCCCTGTGTGATGTGATGAGTCTGTTTTCCCTTTTACACAAACACTCTACTTATTTGTTAACTTACAGGGCACCAGTCACCCTGATGGTTTAAGTACATAGACCAAACTCTGTAGCCATCTACAGTGTGCAGCGTTCATGGTGTGTGGCTCAGGCCCAGCTCTGCCTGTGTTCACACTGGAATGTGATGCTGGCTGTATGACCTCAGACAAGTTCCTCATGCGCTTCTCATGCCTATACCCTAGGGCACTGGTAATAAAATGAGTGACTATAGGCAGAGTACTTAGGAACGGTGTTTGGCACATAGTAAATACCCAATAAGTGTCAGCTATTATTGTGATTATTGTTATCATCATCTGTCATCTCATTTCAAGGCTGCATAGTCATTCAAGGATTTGATGATCTAGAAAAGATGCTGATATATACAAATAATGCATGCCTACTTAGTGTTAGATTATCTATTATAGACAATTTGCAAAAAAAAAAAACACCGTTTCACAGAAAACTCAGTTCCTGGAAATCTGTTATCTCCTTAAAATAAATTCCAAAAAGTAGAAATTGGTAATTTTGAAGAATCATCTTTAAAGTTTTAAAATCTTGCCCTAACCAGTTTGGCTCAGTGGATAGAGCGTCACCCTGCGGACTGAAGGGTCCCAGGTTCGATTCCGGTCAAGGGCATGTACCTTGGTTGCGGGCACATCCCCAGGAGGGGGTGTGCAAGAGGCAACTGATCGATGTTTCTCTCTCATTGATGTTTCTAACTCTCTATCCCTCTCCCTTCCTCTCTGTAAAAAATCAATAAAATATATTAAATAAATAAATAAATAAATAAAATAAAAATAAAATCTTAACAGCAGGTTTTTCCTTCAAAAAGGTTTTTCCAGCCCTGGCCGGTTTGACTCAGTGGATGGAGCATCGGCCTACAGCCTGAAGGGTCCTGGGTTCGATTCCGGTTGGGGGCACATGCCAGGGTTGTGGGCCGATCCCCACTGGGGGGCACACGGGAGGAAGCTGATCGATGATTCTCTCTCATCATTGATGTTTCTATCTCTCTCTCCCTCTCCCTTCCTCTCTGAAATCAATTAAAAAAAAAAAAAAAAAAGGTTTTTCCAACTTATTCTTCTTCCAAAAAAGTGTAAATTCCTAAACCTCTATACCCTGGCCAACACTGGACACAAATACTTAAAAAAAAAATCTTTGATAATATCAGAAGTAAATTTGGGAAGTAAAAAGCAGTCATCTCATAACATTTTCACAAAATTTATTAGTAATGAAGATCATTCTTTTTTCATTTATTTGCTGGTCATCTCTAGTTCTTGTTTTGTAATAATGCTAATTTGGGGTACATTAAGGCCTTTTTGTCCATGTTTGCTATAAATATTTTTCATTTTACTTTGCTATTTGTCTTGTAACTTTTTGCTATAGGGAAAGTTAAAGATTTGTTTTCTTTAATTTTCACTCAAGGGTGTTTTTATTGATTTTTGGAGAGTGGAACGGAGAGACAGGGAGAAAGAAACATCGATATGAGAAACAGCAATCGGTTGCCTTCCTATGTGCCCTGACAGGGGATTGAACCCACAACCTAGGTATGTGCCCTGACCAGGAATCAAACCGGCAACCTTTTGGTATGTAGGACGACGCTCCAAATAAATGAGCCACCTGGCCAGGAAAGGAAAGTTAAATGTTTTCAACAGAGACCTGTTCAATTCTGCATTTCTGGCTGGAGCTCCAAACATCACAAATTCAGGTCTTGGTCTCTGAATGAGAACTGTGGATGGTTTTAAAAGTTTCTGCTTCTCTTTTCACCAATTAGTATGTCTGATGTTCTTGATCCAGATGAGAAAGGCTTTGGAGTGGGCCGAATGCTTGTCTTCTTTAAGAACCTGAGGAGGACCTGAACATACATGCACCTCTATGTTCATGATAATAGTACAGATGATTCTAAGTCCCCGTCAAAGCAGTGAGTAAAGTGTAGGTGGAAAGTACCTACATCCTATAGCATGACTAAAGTTTTTAAATTAAGTACCTATATTACTCAAATAAAATAAACTAATATATGAATGATGAAACACATTAAGGCATGCAAGCAGACATACACATAGAGCCTCAGGTCCTGGGTGGAAAGGGTCTAGCTAGCTCTTTTTGTATGAAAACATCTAACACTATTTTTTCTGAGTTCAGCTTCATTCAGTATGATCCTGTGAGACAAAACCATTTTTAAGTATTCTTTTTACAAACTACCTCAGGGACAAAAAAAAACCCCACATGCTTTTTAGTTTTAAGTCCCTGGAACTAAGGACAAATTATACTAGAATTCTCTCAGAACTCAGAATTATTTTTTTAGCAAACATTATATGTAGAAAACTGATACTGCTGTGCAAAACTGCAAGAATCCTCGAGAACTTAAAAATTTATGAGCCCTAACCAGTTTGGCTCAGTGAATAGAGCGTCGGCCTGCGGACTTAAGGGTCCCAGGTTCGATTCCGGCCAAGGGCATGTACCTTGATTGCAGGCACATCCCCAGTAGGAGGTGTGCAGGAGGCAGCTGATCGATGTTTCTCTCTCATCAATGTTTCTAACTCTCTATCCCTCTCCCTTCCTCTCTGTAAAAAAATCAATAAAATATATTAAAAAAAGAAATATATTTAAAAAAAAAATTTATGAATGGGAAATAGTTAAAGAGCGGGGGGTAGAACATTCATTGAAGTAATACTAGATAACAAAAACTACGTGCTATAATTTTAACTGAAAATAAAAACCAATTCAAAATTGTATCTATTATTTCAAGTACAGTTATGAATGCACATAAAAAATGACCATAGGGAGCGGGGTGGGGAGGGAGAAAAAGATGATTTGTAAGCAGGGTAATAGCTTGTTGGTTTTTCTTTTCTTTTTTTAAAAAATTTCTAGCCTCTTTTATGCTATTATTTGTGAAATAAAATGATTTAAAAAACTAAAAGAAAAAAATTTCAAATGAAAGAAAAAGCATGCCTTATAAATGGTATTAAGTGTCTAGTGTCATTCTTTACACTGGTCGAGGAAGAGAAAAAAGGTATCCACATACTGAGAAGTGAAATAACATGTTAAGTGACAAATAAAAATGCCACTCACCTGGAACTTGGTCATTTTCTCCTTCTTTTCCTAGGGAAACGCTTCCCCCAGGCAGACGCTGCCACATACACCTTAGCAGGCAGAGTGTGTGCTGGGTTCCAGCTACCATTAGGCTATTCGGAAGGATGCCTGAGTGCATGAGACAGCCTCCACGCCGTATCCAGAACTCCTCACACAACTTGTGGCTCCTGAGGTATTCTCTCTGATCCTGAGAAATGTGGGAAAGAAGTGGAGGAATGTACTGGTTAAGAGTGGACTCTGGCCTGGCCGGTGTGGCTCAGTGGTAACATGTCAACCTGCAGACCAGGAAGTCACGATTCTATTCCGGTCAGGGCACATGCCCAGGTTGTGGGCTTGATCCCCAGTGGCGGGCATGTAGGAGGCAGCCGATCAATGATTCTCTCTCATCATTGATGTCGATGTTTCTCTCTCTCTCTCTTTCTCTCCCTCTCCCTTCCTCTCTGAAGTCAATAAAAATATATTAATAAAAAAATTAAAAGTGGACTCTATTGCCCTAAGCCAGCATTTCCCAATGGTTAGAGTGTCAGCCCAAGAACTTAAGGGTCTCGGGTTCGATTCTGATCAAGGACACGTACCTGGGTTGCTGGTTCCCCACCCCGGTTGGGGCACGTGCAGGAGACGACCACTTGATGTGGCTCTCTCACATGGATGTTTCTCTCTCCCCTCTCCCCAGCCCTCTTCCTTTCACTCTCTCTAAAATTAATGGGAAAAATATCCTCCAGTGAGGGTTAACAACAACAAAAAAAGTGGACTCTGTTGACAATTCCTTTTAAGATCTGACATTGCTACATATTGGCTGTATATACTATCTATTGACACTGCTATAGATATTTAAATACATGGCTAAATTAATAAACCACTCTATGCTTCATGTCTGTGATCCACAACATTAGGAGAGTAGCCCCAACATTATGATTGTTGTTAGGAATATATGCGTGAAAAGTGGAAAACATGCCAATGTTTCCTATTATCTTGTAGCTGCAGAAAAGCAGATACTACTCTACATCATAAAACTGTCCTTGCAATTGTTCTTGTAAGACATCTAGGTGGCAGGGATTATGGCTTCTTACTTAATAATTTGGTTTGTGGCCTGAGTAATAATATGTTTAAACACTGAGACCATCCTTTGAAAGGTTTAATGGCGGGTGAATATACTTCCTAAAGTGGGAGGAGGCTCAAATAGCACACCCTCTTCCCACAAGGATATCATGAAAGATTTAAAAAGCCCATGATGCTACTATATTTCTCATCTCTGAAAAGTGCTGGCTCAGCGCACAACTCATGGAGGGACTTGGAAACCAGGAGTTAAATTTCTTGGGTTCTTCCTCAAAATAATTCACTGTTCTCAACAGATATTTACTATTGTTGACCTTATTTACTGTTCCCAGGCAATGACAAGATCATCTGTGAAAAACAGAGAACTAAAAAAATGGGCTACGAATAAGGCAGAGCCTTTTATTTATTTTTCTTATTTTTATTTTTTATTGATTTCAGAGAAGAAGGGAGAGGGAGAGAGAGAAACATCAATGATGAGAGAGAATCCTGCATGCCCCACACTGGGGATCAAACCCACAACCGGGGCATGTGTCCTGACTGGGAATCGAACCGTGACCTCCTGGTTTGTAGGTCGTCACTCAACTACTGAGCCACACTGGCCGGGCAAGACAGAGCCTTTTAGCACCACTGTAGGAGGCTTTCTGCTTCTCTAGTAGAGTACCCCCACCTCCCAGTCCATGCCCACAGGCCCTGCTATAGAAGCCACAAAATGTATGCACAACTACTAAGTATTAACTTGGCCACATAATTAGCAATGAGAGAGTTGTTTGCTTTCACTTACCCAACATTTATGGATCACCTTCTAAAAGGGCTATAAATCCCAGATCTTTATTTGCTCAGAGCCTAGGGTGAGAGAACAATTAGATAATTAGCAATTATCCCACACACTGATAGGTGACAGAGGAGAGCTTAAGTAGGGTCCTTAGGAGAACATGGAAGGGGCCCTCAAACCCAGACTGGATAAGGGAGGGGGCTGGAGTGGGCTCAATGGAGAAAATGTGGCTTGGTGTTAGCCCTGGAGGATGACAGAGCTGTACTAGCTACTAAGAGCTAATCAGAGCACGCCAACAGAATGCGGGTCAGAGGGCACCTGGGGCAAATGAGGAAGCAGAAAGGTGGTGAGAAGTCAAGAGCCAAATCCTATGCTTTAGAGCAGGGGTCCTCAAACTTTTTAAACAGGGGGCCAGTTCACTGTCCCTTAGACTGTTGGAGGGCCGGACTATAGTTTTAAAAAAAACTATGAACAAATTCCTATACACACTGCACATATCTTATTTTGAAGTAAAAAAACAAAACGGGAACAAATACAATATTTGTATTTGCATGTGGCCCGCGGGCCGTAGTTTGAGGACCCCTGCTTTAGAGGAATTGCCTCATTTAATCCTCACAACAACCCGAGAGATTGGGACAGTTTTTACAGCTAGGAATATCGGCAAAAAAGCTGAAGAGAAAATATATCTGCTGGACATCACTAATCATTAGGGAAATGGACATTATAAAGAAATACCAATACACACCTATTAGAATGTCTAAAATTAAAAAAGACAATAATTGCTGACAAGGATGTGGAACAATTGGAACTCTCAAAAGTCATTACACGGTTTGGCTGGTTCTTATAAAGTTAAACATACACTTTCCATATTACCCAGCCATCCCATTCCTGATTATGTATTTTGGGGAAATAAGCACAAAAACTTGTACACATATGTTTACAGCAGCCTATTCATAACTGCCAAAAAGTGGATACAACGCAAATAGTCTTCAATGGGTGAATGGATAAACTATTGTATGTCCATCCTATATAATAATCCTATATAATAAAAGGCTAATATGCAAATCGACCAAACGGTGGAACGACCAGTCTCTGTGACGTGCACTTGACCATCAGGGGGCAGAAGCTCAACACAGGAGCTGCCCCTGGTGGTCATTGTGCTCCCACAGGGGGCGCGCCGCTCAGCCAGAAGCTGGGCTCACGGCTGGCGAGTGCAGCGGTGGTGGTGGGAGCCTCCGTGGCAGCGCTAAGGATGCCTGACTGCTGGCTTAGGCCCACTCCCCATCAGTCAGACATCCCCCAAGGGCTCCCGGACTGCGAGAGGGCTCAGGCCGGGCTGAGGGACACCCCCACCCCTACCCCAGTGCATGAATTTCGTGCACCAGGCCTCTAGTAATTACTATATTAACCAGTAATAAAAATAAATGAAGTACTAATATATACAACTTGGATGAATTTCAAAGACATTCTACTGAAAGAATGCAGCCTGAAATGTGGAGAAAAGGGAACCCTAGTGCACTGCTGGTGGGAATGCAGACTGGTGCAGCCATTATGAAAAAAAGAATGGTGTTTCCTCAAAAAATTCAATATGGAACTGCCATTTGACCCAGTGATCCCACTTCTAGGAATATATCCTAAGAAACCTGAAGCACCAATCAGAGAGAATGTATGCACCCCTATGTTCATAGCAGCACAATTTACAATAGCTAAGATCTGAAAACAGCTCAAGTGCCCATCAGTAGATGAGTGGGAAAAAAAGCTGTGGTGCATTTACACCATGGAATACTATGGAGGAGTAAAAAAGAAGAATCTCTTATCCTTTGAGACAGCATGGAGGGACCTGGAGAGTATTATGCTAAGAGAAATAAGCCAGTCAAAGACAAGTATCACACGATCTCACTCATATGTGGAATCTAATGAACCAAATAAACTGATGATCAAAAATAGACTCAGAGTCATAGAAACATGAACAGACTGTTGAACCTCAGAGGGAAGGTAGGGGAGGGTGGGTGGGGAGAGATCAACCAAAGAACTTGTATACAACCCATGGACACAAACAATAGGGTGGGGCAGGGGTGGGGATGAGTTAGAAGGGGTCAATGGGGGGAAAAGGGGGACATATGTAATACTTTCAACAATAAAGATTTAATTAAAAAATAAATAAAACAACTCACCAGGAAAAAAAAAAAAAAAGAATGCAGCCTCAAAAGGTTCTATCTGGCCTGGCCAGTGTGGCTCAGTTGGTTGAGCATCGTCCCATGAATCAGAAGGTCACCAGTTCAATTCCAGATCAGGGCCCATGCCCAGGTTGTGGGTTTGCTCCCCAGTAGGAGGCGTGCAGGAGGCAGTGAATCCATGTTTCTCTCTCCTTCCTCTGAAATCAATAAAAAAAAATTAAAAAAAAAAAAAGGTTCTGCCCAGCTGGTGTGACTCAGTGACTGAGTAGCGAACCATGAACCAAGAGGTTACCTGGTCAGGGCCCATGCCCAGGTTGTGGGTTTGAGCCCAGGGGAGGTGTGCAGGAGGCAGCCGATCGATGTTTCTATCTCTCTATCCCTCTCCCTTCCCTTCTCTCTAAAAAAATTAATAATATATTTTAAAACAGTTTTAAAGAATGTGATTGACAAAAACTGGGTGCTGTTTCCTTTAAAAAAAAAAAAGGGTTCGGTCTGACAGAAGTCCATTTACAAGACATTCTCAAAAAGACAAAACTCTAGTGTTATAGTGGTTGCTGGTGGTTGGTTACAAGGTGGCGAGGGGTGATTATAAAAGGAAAATAGGAGGGAAGTTTTGAGGGGTTATGGAACTGTTATGTATGCGATGCTGGTGGTAACTACATAAATCTGCAACTGTGTCAAAATTAATAAATTTTTATATAAAACAAAAAAGAGAGTCAATTTTACTATACGATACTTGTTTTTTAAAAATAACACCCTTTTTTTTCACCTGTAGAATGAAGGTAAGAGCAGGTTTTTATGAGAAGTAAATTAATATCTGTAAACCATTGGAAACACTGCCTCACTCATAAAACACAATATTATGGTAGCTGTTCTCATTTCTACCAATGTGGTTCTGAGGAAATTTGTTTTAAATCATCAAAATAATTGCTCATGAACCTTTTAATTCTCTGAAATAGTTGGTGAATCCCAGAGCTCATTAATATTATGGGAGATTAAGGAACATCTCCAAGGGTCATTTCTATTCTGCTTTGCCACTTAATTCCAATTTCAGAAACTGAACTGCAGACCCCTCATGCCAGCTGCCTTGAGTACCTGCTCTAACTGCAAACCCTTGCCAGCTGCCAGCCTTGTACTTCGTGCCGGCACACAGAGGACGATATGGCAAGTTCCCAGCAACAGAACTGTCAGTGTGTGGAAGGAGAGAAATAAGAAACAAAGAGCCCAAGACACAGGCAAGTCCAACTGGGTATGAGATAACAAGATCCCTCACCATCCCTCACCAAAGTGCACGACTCTTGTGCCCCTTCGCCTTCTCAAGCTGCAAAGACCGAACACCCAGCGTATCCTTTTCTTAGTCTTGGGTAGAAACAAAGTATGATAACCCATTTTTAACAATTATGGCAATAAATCAATCACTACCATACTCACTCAACGTTGGGGATTTGCTTTAAAATACATGAAAATGTGGAGGGGAGGGGTTGATGCAAGACTGACATGTTAACAAGGGTTGAATTTGGGTGACGGCCCCACAGGGGTTCATCATTCTATTACTACATTTGGCTGTGATTATAAATTTCCATCTCAAAATACCTTTAATAATAAGGTGGACGCGCTCACACCGACTTAAAGAGGAAACGCAGTCAGAGACACGACGATGGGACAGGAAAACATTAAAGGATTACTATTATCTCTGTATTCTGTGGTCCTGAATAATTAAATCTTTTTCTTTATACCTGTGGGTCGCGACCCCTTTGGCGGTCGAACGACCCTTTCACAGGGGCCGCCTAAGACCATCCTGCATATCAGATATTTACATTACGATTCATAACAGTAGCAACATTACAGTGATGAAGTAGCAACGAAAATAATTTTATGGTTGGGTCACAACATGAGGAACTGTATTTAAAGGGCCAGAAGGTTGAGAACCACTTTGGGAAAGTACCGAACGGGGAGGCCCTGCATCCCAGCGCCGATGACCCGGCTGGGCCTGAAGCGGGGATGCGCGAACCGCCCACAGTCCCGCAGGCTCATTCAAAGGGAACACCAGCCCGCCCTTCGCCGCAGGCGGGCTCTCTTCCTCGCGGTGGACCGCCTGCTCGCCACTGGCCCGCGGCAACGCGAAGGAAGGACAGTGTGGGCGCGGGGGAGAGGCGCACGGGGAGGTGAGGGCTCACCTTTCCGAGAGGAATGAAGGCCGCGGCCTCGAGTACCTGGGGCGGAAGTGACTCTGCCTGCAGAGACCTCCTGGACTACGCTTCCCAGAATTCCCGACGGGAGCAGGAACTCAGCCTCAGCCTCCTGGAGCGGAAATTATCCAACTACACTGTTCCCAGACTACACTTCCCAGAATTCCCAGGCCATTTCGTCGCCTTCCAAGGGCTAAAGTGCCAGCTGCTATACCAAGAGTCTGGATTGTATTTCACAGTTTACGGATTTAGAACGAATTCCATGACCCCGCTTTCCTGGAGCCGAAATGCTTCCAAACATAGCTGTATTGTACTGTGTATGCATGCTTTAAAGGCGGCTGTTCGGGAGTGTGAGGGCCTCACCCTGTGGACTACACTTCCCAGTCTCCTGCGGGCAGCCCTTTCTGCCAAGCTGCCTTTGTTCTTTTGCGCAGTCAGTATTTGGGTAGTCCTAACTCTCTAGGAAAATCAGTCTGAATTCTATACTGTTAGGTGGGCGTGGTCACCTTCTCCCTTTTTTTCTCGAAAAAAAGTTTTTTCTGCAAACTTGACGGGGGTGAGGGGGAGATGGAAGGTTTAGCTCCAACAAGATTAGCAAATATTGACGAGGGTAAAAGCTTGGTGAGGGTTCTATGGAATGTTATCCTATTCTTAGAGCATTTGACCATACTAGTAAATTTCCAAAGTAAAAAAGAAAAGGAGGGGGGAAATATGACACCTTTAAAAAATATATATACTTTTATTGATTTCAGAGAGGAAAGGAGAGGGAGAAATAGAAACATCAATGAGAGTGTCATTGATCGGCTGCCTCCTGCACGCCCCCTACTGGGGATTGAGCCCGCACATGTGACCTCTTGGTTCATAGGTCCAAGTGACACCAGCTGGGCATGACACCTGTTTTGTAAAATGTAGGTAAATAAACATAAAAACCTGGAAAAAACACACATTAAAATTCATATCCTGGGAATATGAATAATTCAAAATTTCTTCAAATTTCATATAGTCTCAATAATCAAAATATCAACTAAGTATTACTTGAAATAAAATACAATTAAATAATGAAAGATGCCTTTAAAAGCTTATTCACACCTTGCTGACCGGCTATTTCGAGCCAGATCTCGCCCGTGCAGCCGGCTACTTTTCTTTTCATAGTTTGGTAACCCACAGTTCTCCCCTATTGTTCCACAGACCAGTGTTTTGTTCTTCAGTAATAGTTCAGCTGTAGAAACGCTAGTAATTATCTTGGTAACTAGGATGCCAAGAACCAAGAAAAGGCCCTAAGACAGATAATATAGTCTGTTGTAACTTTTTGCCTTCACCCCTTATATATCTTGAAGTTGCAAACATAGCCACTCTCACTTTCACAAAGCATCTTTACTAAAATACCATATTTTATTATTTTTGCCAGATTATACATCTTGAATCTGATGCATCCTCTCCGTGGAATCATTGCTTCATCGAGTGATAGCTGCTGCTTTGGTGTATGTAGAGAGATTTAAATTTTGAGATAAAGTAATCCAAAAGAGGTCTGATGATCTATGTTACATGTTGTTCCTGAATTATCTTTCAAGTGAAAGAATATAAGTATTTGCTCGGACCTCTTTTCAGTCACAGTTTTTGGGAACATGGGTGATTCGAATAAAGGATTGGCAGTCTTTCCATTCTGGCTTCTTCGTTAGTCCCATCGATATAGTTAAACCAAGAAACTTCTTTATAACCATGTAAGTGACATCCGTCCATGGTGAAGTTTTAGCAGAGGTTTCGTGGTATTTTTCCATTTGGTGATGCTATAAATTGGTTTGAAAAGTAATGAGATTTAAAAAAATCCTTATCAAAAAATAAATTGGTTACTTCACTTATACTTTGGGTCTTCAAACAGAAGAGATGCCTGAAATATTTGTATAATCCTCCAAGGTAAAATGTCTTTTTCTGCCAAGTCTTCTTCAGAATCACTTGCACTGTCGGATACTATCACATTTCTCTTTTGCCTTCATGATGGTTTAATGTCATTACTGTCTCCCGACAAAGTACTGTCTTCCAGCTGACTACCAAAGTCACTCGGCCAATCAAATGAAGTGTCTGCACATAATTCACTCAAACGTTCTTCTCTGCCAGGACAGGTCTTTTTTAAAAACGTTTGCCAGAATAGAAGATGGATGGAAAGAATTAGATATATTGCTCGTCACGTCTCTGGAAATACTGACTGACAAGTTGAAGAAAAGACATGCACAACAGAAAGAAAAACTAGGGATGGCCAAAATAAGTGCTGAGCAGTGAAGTAGCTTATATCTCGCACTTCTTCTAATCTGAGCTTAAACAAAGATAACTAAGAAAATAGTCTAGAGCGCTCTTTTAAAACTCTACATTGCTTTCAGACTTTAAAATTACTTATATTAATGTTGTAAGTAATGTTAGTGGAAACAAGAGTTAACTCGTGACTGGTCAGCAAGGTGTTAACAGCCCAACTGGTGTGACTCACTGGTTGAGCATCGACCTATGAACCAGGAGTTCATTGTTCAATGCCCCATCAGGGCACATGCCCGGGTTGCAGGCTCTATCCCCAGTAGGGGGAGTGCAAAAGGCAGCCGATCAATGATTCTCTCTCATCATTGATGTATCTATCTCTCTCTCCCTCTCCGTTCCTCTCTGAAATCAATAAAAAAAAATATTTATTTTAAAAGCTTATTAGCATAGCTTTCATAGTCCTTAACAAACTATTCCTTCCAAACCTGACAACAAACAGATTAAGGAATAAGGGTGGAGACTGAGAGTAGCTCAGTTCAGTTCTCAACTCAGCTTCTTAGTAGTTGGATGACCTCGGTTAGGGAACTTTTGCTCTGCGTCTCAATTTCCTCCTCTTTAAATGAGTAAATAACTTCATTAGGCTACTGTGAGGATTAAATTATTTCTAGAAAGCCCTTAAAATAGTACTACTTAGCACTACATATTAACTATCATAATTATGCTTAAGTATTCCTCCCACCTACTCCCACATTTATTCAACAAACTTTTGAACACATAGCACTGGGGTGGGCAACATCTGCTCGCAGGCTGAATAAGGTCCACGAAATCACTTGGTCTGGCCCTGCCAAGGCATTAGGGATGACTTAAATGTTTGACCAAATATAGCAGGCTAATTTTTAAGTTGATAATTTTGTATGGCCCTTGAATAATATTATAAACTAGAAGCCCAGTGCATGAAATTTGTGCACTTGGGGAGGGGTCCCTCAGCCTGGCCTGCGCCCTCTTGCAGTCCAGGACCCCTCGGGGGATGTCCACCTGCTGGCTTAGGTCTGGGAGCGGGCCTAAGCCGGCAGTCAGACATCCCTCTCGCAGTCTGGGACCCCTCGCTCCTTACTGCCCGCCTGCTCGCTGCTCCTTACTGCTCGGCTTGCTGCTCCTTAGTGCTGCTGTGGAGGCAGGAGAGGGTCCCGCCACGGCTGCTGCGCTCGCCAGCCATGAGCCCAGCTTCTGGCTGAGTGGCGCTCCCCATGTGGGAGCGCACTGACCACCAGGGGGCAGCTCCTGCATTGAGCGTCTGCCCCCTGATGGTTAGTGCACATCATAGCGACCGGTCGTTCTGGTTGTTTCGCTTTAATGGTCGCTTAGGCTTTTATCATATAGACTAGAGGCCCAGTGCACGAAATTCATGCACTGTGGGGGGGGGGGTGTCCCTCAGCCCAGCCTGTACCCTCTCCAATCTGGGATCCCTCTCATAATCCGTGACTGCTGGCTGTTCACCTGCCTGCCTGCCTGATTGCCCCTAACCGCTTCTGCCTGCCAGCTTGATCACCCCCTAACCACTCCCCCGCTGGCCTGATCGACGCCTAACTGCTCCCCGGCTGACCCGATTGCCCCCAACTGCCCTCCCCTGCTGGCCCGGTCGCCCCCAACTGCCCTCCCTTGCCAGCCTAGTCACCCCCAACTGCCCTCTCCTGCAGGCCTGGTCACCCCTAACGGCCCTCCCCTGGAGGCCTGGTTGCCCCCAACTGCCCTACCCTGTAGGCCTGGTCCCCCCAATTACCCTCCCCTACAGGCCTGTTCGCCCCCAGCTGCCCTCCCCTGAAGGCCTGGTCGCTCCCAACTGCCCTCCCCTGCAGGCCTGGTTCCCCCCAACTGCCCTCCTCTGCTGGCCTGATCACCCACAACTGCCCTCCCCTGCCGGCCATCTTGTGGTGGCCATCTTTGACCACATGGGGGCAGCCATCTTGTGCGAGGGTGCGATGGTCAATTTTCATATTACCTCTTTATTATATAGGATATCCAAGTGAACCTTGGCAGAAAAAAGGTTCCCACCCCTGATGTAGCAGAATGTGCTGGTTATAATTATTAAAGGCAATTTCTTCTCCCCTGAAAAGAGAGATTACATGGCAGGAAAGGTGGTAAATCCTACCCAGGCAAGGTTTTGATGCTAGCAGCCAAAGACTCATTCCCTCCTCCTTACTGCAGCCCTCTGCAAGAAGTCAGAGCTGGGGGAGCAAAGGAGGCTGGGAGAAATTAGAGCTGTGGTTCCCTTCTGCATGGATCACAGAGGACATCACCATATACTACCCTGGAATGACACACACTTCCCACCCCCACTTCTTAAAGTGGAGAATGGAGAGGGAGAGGGAGAGAGCAGAAGGAAGCCAAGATGAGCCCAGATTCCTCCAGGGATTAGGCGGGGAAAGGCCAGTAGCATTGTGGGTGGAACTCTGATCCCTTCCTGGGCTCATACAAACTTTTAGGGCATTTCTCAGGAAATTAAAACAGATTAATTAAAATAAACCCATCTTGCTTGGTCGGGCGTGGCTCAGTGGTTGAGTGTCGACCTATGAACCAGGAGATTGAGGTTCAATTCCTGGTCAGGGCACATGCCTGGGTTGTGGGCTCGATCCCCAGTGTGGGGCATGCAGGAGGTAGCCGATCAATGATTTTCTCTCTCATCCATGTTTCTATCCCTCTCTCCCTCTCCCTTCCTCTCTCTAAAAATCAATAAAAACATATTTTAATAAATAAATAAGTAAATAAAATAAACCCATCTTTACCACTTGTTTTAAACCTTTTATTTGTGACTATCTCATTTAA